CAGCCAGCTAGCAGACTAGACCCCCGGGGAATCCCTTTTGCAGTCATTTCAGCAGCCAACGTTAAAGCGCAGACATGGATCATAAATATCGGATTTCTCCGCAGGTTGGATCGGAAAAATCCGATACGTGTATTACGCTGGTATCGGTCCCGATACCGATACTGGATCGGATCGGCCCCATCCCTAATTTGTATTTAATTGAAAAGGCTAGAAATGGTATGTTCTACAATGATAGTGCTGTTATAATTCATAAGGATTTTCACACACAACCATTTCTAGGGTTTACAAAGACTGGTGTGAAAAGGGAAAAAACATCCAGTATGCGGCAGTCCTGTGGGCGAAAATGCCTTGTTGATGCTAGAGGTCAGAGGAGAATGGTCCGGCTGATTCAAGCTGATAGAAGAGCAACTTTGACTGAAGTAACCACTCGTTACAACCGAAGTATACAGCAAAGCATTTGTGAAGCCACAACACGCACAACCTTGAGGCAGATGGGTTACAACAGCAGAAGACCCCACCGGGTACCACTCATCTCCAATACAAATAGGAGCTCATCAAAATTGGACAGTTGAAGACTGGAAAAATGTTGCCTGGTCTAGAGTCAGAATTTGGCATAAACAGAATGAGAACATGGATCCATCATGCCTTGTTACCGCTGTGCAGGCTGGTGGTGGTGGTGTAATGGTGTGGGGGATGTTTTCTTGGCACACTTTTGGCCCCTTAGTGCCAATTTGGACATCGTTTAAATGCCATGGCCTACCTGAGCATTGTTTCTGACCATGTCCATCCCTTTATGGCCAATGTACCCATCCTCTGATGGCTACTTCCAGCAGGATAATGCACCATGTCACAAAGCTCGAATCATTTCAAATTGGTTTCTTGAACATGACAATGAGTTCACTGCACTAAAATGGCCCCCACAATTACCAGATCTCAACCAAATAGAGCATATTTGGGATGTGGTGGAACAGGAGCTTCGTTGCCTGGATGTGCATCCCAGAAATCTCCATCAACTGCAAGATGCTATCTGTAACGCCGTTCGTTGTTATGGGAAGAAGGAGGCGGGAACCGGGGAACATCCAAGACTTTAATAATAAAATAAATAAATACAAAATGAAAGTAAAGTCAGCAGCCCCTTACGGACGACTGCTGGCCACAGAAACAAAACACAACATAAAATCAGACCTGTTCCTCTCTCTCTGCACTGTCGTCACTCCTCGTTTATGTTTCCGCTCCTCCGTGAGAGATGCGAGACCAGTGCGTCTCACAGGTGTCACTCATTACAACTCAATGCCACTGGCCTCGCACCGCTCACGGCCTCGTCCTGCTCGCCACACTATCCTATTTATACAGGCCAACATTTGTAAAGAATGCTTTCAGCACCTTGTTGAATCAATGCCACATAGAATTAAGGCAGTTCTGAAGGCGAAAGGGGGTCAAACACAGTATTAGTATGGTGTTCCCAATTCTTTAGGTGAGTGTAAGTAGTAAGGTAGATAGGAGGATACGTATTTACGTAGGTAGGTAAAAAGGTAGGTAGGCAGTTTGGTAGGAGTGTAAAAATAGGTAGAAAGGTAGGTACATAGATAGGTAAGTAGGCAGTTGCCTAAGTAGGCAGGTAGGTATAGTTAAAGATAGGTAGTTGACTAAGTACTGGATGGTAAAAAGATAGTAGGTAACTCGTAGGTAAAAGTAGGTAACTAATCTAAAAAGGAGACGAAAATATGTAGGCAGGCAGATGGATAATGTTGATAGGTTTATAAATGCAAGTAAATACGTAGGTAGGAAGGTAAAGTACAAAGGAAGGTAAAAAAAAATAGGTATATGTAGGCAATTAGGTAAATGATAGGTTATCCAAGTAAGCAGGTAGCAGGGGAAGAAAATATATAGGATTAGGAAGGTAGATAGATATTTTAGATGGGCAAGTACAGCAAGTTGATTGGTGGATATATGGAGAAGTAAAGTTGGTTAAAAAAGTAGGTAGGCGAGGGGATTGGAAGGTGAAAAGATAGGTGGGCGAGTAGGTGAATTATAGGCTGACTGTCACAAGTGGTTGCAGGGAGACAGATGAAGACAAGGCAAGTTTATTTAGGCTATATAGCATGTCATTATTCAAAGTGCTTTACACAGAAAGGAATCAAAATAAAAGCAAGGGAAATTAAACCGGTTATAAAAGGAATTAGAGATATAAAGATGATACAGTTATAAAAGGAATCAAAAGAGTAAAAAGATGATACATAAATAGACTTCTCATCTGGCATAAACACCAGTGTATAATATTTTTCTCAGCTCCCAATTTTACTCTGAGATTTTCCCATGGTGATCACACCGTGTCTCTTCATTTCATTCTTTTGGCGCGCCTAATAAATATGTGTCCAATAGATCCGATTTATCCCTAAAATCGGACAGGAGGAGCTCTAGGACTGACTCAAGGGGTAAGCTTAGGTTCACAACCCCAACAGTCCACACCCCAAAGGATAAGAAGTATCCAAATATCCAAAAGGTGAACAGAAGGTGGCATCACACATAATCAACAGACCAGATGGAGAATGAACGCGAGGGAACAATTTAAATAGTGACGCAAACAAGATGATTAATAGAACACAGCTGAACAGAAACTCATAATGATGGTGACGATGGTAACAAAGGAGCGGCGGGAAAATCAAACAAAGGAACTTGAGAATTAATGAAAACAAACTAAAAGTCTATAATAACTAAGACAAACTAAACTGTGAAAGTGACGGTAGGCCTATGTAGGTAGGTAGGTCTAACCCAATGCGAGTAAACTAATGATGGATGGATGGATTGATGGATATACAATAAATAGGTGGATAAGTAGTTTATGTTGTTAAAAAGGTAGGTATGTTGAAGGGTAGATATGTAGGTAAAGACAAACATGAGCACATAACTGCTCCAAGAAATTAATGTTTTCTAAAAAGATCCGTAATGGACCTGGTTATCTCTGATTCAGTATTTATGCTCCATATCAATATATCATCCTGTATCCTGACTGTAGGAATCAAGATCCATGTGTATAAACCCATTATTCACATAGACAACCTGTATAAATGTCCTTTTAGAATAAGAGCTAAAGGTGAAATATAACCCAGAAACTCCCAACAGTAATCTGCTCTTTACAAATAACTGATCAATAAAGTCAAGACTGTGAAAGTACAGCTTGGTTGGAAACACTCTGTGAGGAGGCAGGAGAAAGTCAAGGGTGACAATGTCAATAAAATCATTAAACAAACTTGAAACTCTTTCTCCAACAACAGACACTTTGAAGGCTTTAAACTGATGTCCTTTTCCAATAACAATCAGCAGGAATATTAGACTTCTTACTTAAATCTAAGCGTTCGGAACCGACCGTTCATTTCACTAGCACTGGGGTCTAAGATAGCATCAGTACGTTTGAAAGATCTTTTAATCATTGCTTAAGTGCTCAAGTTTGTGAAAGGTGCCTGGGGAACAGAGATAAGGGAAACAGACGGGCTATTCCAACCAACAGCGAAGGTGAATCTTTCACTTTACACTACATGCAGAGACAAACATCTTTTTGTGCTTAGAAATGAACCTTTTCTACTTGCAATATCACATCATCCTGTGTGGTCCAACAAAGCAAATCCAAAAAAACAAACAAAACAATGGGAAAAAATTTCTGTGTATTTTAAGAAATGAAAAACATAGAAAGACTGGTACCTGTTATTCAAGGGATTGTAGTTACAATTAATAATATTTCACAATGTTATTCTTTTTATTGAATTTTTTTATTGAATTGTTTTATTAAATAAATGCAGCCTTGGTGAGCATAATGCCTGGTTCAGATTACACTTTTTTTTTTGTCTGTTACGATAGTCACTGTGTCAGATTACACAATTTTGACTCCTAAAATATTGTCGTGTCGTGGACAAGACACATGTCAGACTACACGTTGCTTCCTGACCAGTCATCATCGCATGGCGTTTTTAACGGTGCACATGATGTCATCAAGAAGAATAAACTAGTAGCGAGTGACTTCTGGAAATGAACGTAAACAAACAATGGATGAAGCGCTAAGTGTTGTATTAGCTGTCCTGTGTTCAGAAAAATGTAAAAAAATTTAAAAAAAAAAAAAAAAAAAAGAAAGAAAACCCGACAATGGACACGTTCCTGGATTGCTCGAAGAGGACAGTATGGACTGTCAATCCTCCAAAGAGAACTTGAGGTAAAATATTGTTTTCTTTTATATTTTTGCTTTTAGTTTTAACGTTAGCACCATCGTCGGTAACGTTAGCATTTAACGTTAGCACCAACTTTTTTTAAAGTTGTGTACGGAAAGGCTTCTGTGCTTCTATTGGTCAACCTCATACATGTGACGGAACCGTCGTGGACGACCGTTGAAAAAATTAAACATGCTAGCCTTTTTATCGTGATGTCGTGAGGCATCGCAGACGCGGCGTATGTTGTCGCCTACTATGACAAACTATACGAGATGATACGATCGAATCTTGCGTTCCAACGCCTGTTGTCGTTTACGAATCCCCACGACACCCAACATCAAATGGATCATGCCAAAATCAGGCTAAAATCGTGTAATCTGAACCAGGCATAAGAGATTTCAGAAAAGTTCAAAAACAAAAACAAAACCCTAATTTTTTTTTTAATTCAACATCAATATTTAACCAAATTGTACCTGTATTAACCTAACTTTAAACAGCATGTAAAAATAAAACTGTTGCTGGCTGATACAGTTCTGCTACATGTGAACCAGACAGTCTTTTCCTGTCCAAGTGGGCAGTTTTTGGACAGAATATGCTGCAGTCTGGACTAGATTTAATGTTATTAGTCAAAAGTCTGGGAAACCCTAACACAATGAAATTCACAAAACTAATATCATCCAATAACAGTGAATTAGCACTAAATGTTGGATTTTAATATAATACTAATTATCTCAGGACCAAAACCTCAGAGAATAAAGCCAGTGCACATGTTGTGTTTTTCATTAGAAGTGCAAGACTCACTTGTAGGTGTTCATGTTGGGCTGCTCCGCGTCAGGAAAGCCAAGCATCCCACACACAACTCTGCTGATATTCAAACTCCAGCCTTTATCACACACCTGTCTCCACCTCCCAGCGTGCTTTACTTCCACCACACCCTCCGTGACAAGAGTGCGCCTCTTTGTGACCATCAAGACCGGCTTGAGACGGACTTCCTCAATCCTCACCCTACTGGCAGACTAGAGGAAGATTGAAAACACGACATTTTCTCATGAGCATACCTCCAAGTTTTCCCAATAGTTTACCTCATATTGATGCATCCAAACCTCTTTCATATGTCATGCATAAAAATGGCAGAAATGTACTATAAAAGTATTGGACAATCGCAACAAGTGCACAAGATTCCAAGTAGGATATTCTTTAAAGGGGTGATGAACTGAGGAATCAAATTTTCAGATTTTCAATTGACATCTAAGAGGTCATATTATAAGAATATTCTGTAAGTTTCAGAACTGAAAATGTCCTTGTTAGTCCAATATAAGCTTTTATTGACACCAGCCCCAGCAAACGACTTGTTTTTAAAAGTGGGGAACTATAACGCCAAAGAGGATAAAACACCACCCCCACAGAAGAAGATCAACGCCTACTTCAACACGGCCGGTTTAGCCCCGCCCACCGATTCGCGCATTACACGCATAGCTAATAATATAGGCCTACCTCGTGATGACAAACCAGGTCGAGCTACCGAGCAATACAAAACATTTTTGCAGTGCCTGGTTGTGGAAGAAGACATGTCGCTGCATAAGCTTCCTCTGGATTCCAATAGGACTGCATGGATAAACTTTATTTTTAATGACATTCCAGCTGATGAGGTAAAACATTGTCCGTCTGTTCGCTTCATTTCACTGAGGATTGTAAACAAGACTGGATTTGCAGACCGATTAAGAGTAAACAGTGCTGTGTCGTCTATATTGGATCTGACAGGAATGGTGCAACACGCGGACTCTGGGTCGAACATGTATGGGTGAATCATTCCGGTTGCCATTTTACAACATTGGACGTTTTCAAAACAATTTTTCCCATGTACAAAGACGAGGTAAGTTCAAAAACTCATTGTAATATGCAAAACTGTTTTCTACAAGTCTTCAGTGCGAAACGCCCATAAAAACCATGTGTTTCTGAGCTGGTCTCAAAGCTAGGGTAGAAAATAGCTTATTAGTTATTCATTTTGATGTTTTTGAATGCAAAAACCATGCGAACGTCAAGTTCACCTCAGAAACAATATAATAAAATTTAAAAAGCCAGTTTATGACCCCTTTAAAAAGTATTATTTTGCGTTCCAACGAGGATGGAAAGTAAGATGAGTTTGGAGCAACTTGAACATGAATAAATGTTTTTTTTTTTTTTAATTTTCAACTAAATCTAAAAATTGCAGATGAGATTACTCATGGATTAAAACGTCAAGGTCAGGATTCGGTTTAGAGTTAATCAGAAGCATTTCAGATCTACTTCATTCTCTGTTTACCGGATTATGAAGCTGCTGTCTGGAGAATTGATCCCATCCGGTATGATCCTGGGAGTGTCCATTGCCTTGCCTGAGGTGTGCATGCGTTCTTGAACTGGAGTAAATGTCCTGCCAACGGTTGGAGGTGACTGCGTTTGGTCTGAGAGCGATGGTGTGCCCTCTTCTGGTGACTCCAGGATGCACTTGATCCAGCCTTCTCTCTGGACTACAGACCACCCCGAGATCCTCAGTGTGTTTGCAGTCATGAACACCCCATCCGTTCGACTTGCAGTCTTTCAGAGTATTCTCTGTTCCTTCACACCTCACATTATCCATCCAAATGGGGCCTGTGACAGATGTTACAGGTTACAAAAGCACTAGATGAATAAAACATCAGTTTATGGGTCTTAAAGTGACCTTATTATGCTTTTTTTGGATTCCACCTTTCATGTAGTGTGTAATATAGCTGGTTGCGAATGTAAAATGTCTTGAAAAGTTTCAAAGATCAAACATTTCTGAACTGCCTGAAACAAGTCGTCAGTAATTCCAGTCTTAGGCCGTGTTTACACCTGGTATTAAGATTTGTTTTCATCGTTCGGATCATCAGTAGGTGAGAGAGACACATTCCCGTTTACACTTGCTGTCTTTTTTTCCACTTTCAATCACTTCTGTCCTGATTTCTTTGAGGGGATGGTCTAAAGGCAGGTAATTTACATGTTTTTTCAGCCCGTTCTCATCCCAAGGCGTCATCTAACTGACATTTTTGACCATGCGCTAACATCCGACGCACATGGCACCCTTTAGCTTCAATATGAGACGCGCCTCATAGTGGTCTAACCCTAACCCTACCCCAGACCTAAACCTACCCGCATCATCTAACTGACGCTAAAGGTTGCCATGTGCGTCGGATTTAGACGCATGGTCAAAAGTGTCAGTTAGATGACGCCCTAGGATGAGAATGCGTTGGTTTTTTCAGATCTTTCAATCCAATGGACAAAATAAGCTTGCGCAATTTATATAATAATGTGACAAGAGATGACGTAAAAAAACATGGAGAGCAGCCAATTTCATTTCTGCTCTGATTAGATAGCCACAAGCCCACACCGAACGCAGCAAGTGTGTGTTAGAAATCAGAAATGGTGAGAGAACATTGTGCTTGGTACATTTTTCGGCTTCAAACCGAACTTGGGTCTTCATCCGACAAAGTTTCAATCCTATCTGTCTAGTGTGCTTACCATGTTTACGCATTAGGTCAGAAGGCTGTCTTTTGTGGATGTTCGAACGCATTCAACCACATGAGCGTTTAGACTATATGAAAGTGAATGCGTTTTCGACTACCACAGGAAGTGGTTGAAGTGGATAAGCTCAAAATGTTTTAGACCCTGTTTATATCCACTTGTGATCAACCAAAACGCATCTTAATCTCAGGTGTGAGCAGGACCTTACTTCCTACTTGAACCTACGAACTGTACGTTTGTAACACATTTGCAGAATGCCATCTGTTGGTCCTCATTGGCTGCCACAAACAACGTATACTCATCCCAAGGCGTCATATAGTGACGCTTTTGACAATGCGTATACATCCACATGAGACGCAGATATGTATGTGCCAGAAGGCGCCTCCTAGTGGTATAACCCTAACCCTACCCCAGACCTAAACCTACCTACTTATAATCGAAGCGTGTTATATTGGCGCTAAAGGGTGCCGTGTGCATTGAATGTGTATACGCATTGTCAAAAGCGTCACTATGTGACGCCCTAGGATGAGAATGCATTGGTAGTTGTAGCAGAGGCCTGGAAAAGTTTGGTTCGTGTTGTCAACATGTCAAAAAAAAAAAGTTTTCTGCACTGCAAAAGCAAACCACTTTGCATGCCCTTCCAAAATATGTGGACTCAAATTGATATGGTAAAGTCGATGGCATCACTACTGGTATCATTATATGGTGAAGGACGTTTTGTTTCCAAAATGCACTGTAAGTTGTAGACCAATCACAACAGACTGGGCCATCTGACCAATCAGAGCCAGAGCCAATCTAATCTCTTGGAAAGGAGGGGTTTAGAGACACCAGACTCTTGAACATCGAACCATTTCAGACACTGTGAGACAAAAGGTGATGCTGCAATGTATATTAAGAGAAAAATATGGATGCATGTAAACCTATAATATGGGACCCCAGAAACAAAAGTAGGAATAATATAGGCACTTTAAAGGAACAGCTCACCCAAATTAAAAATTTAATAATTCCAAACATGAATAGCTCTTGTTTCAACACAAAAGGTGAATTTGAAAAATAAAAATATGACAAAATTAGTCCATACAACTCATATATTACTTCTGAAGTCATATACGTTTTGTGTGACAAACAGATCAAAATTGAAGTTGTTATTCACTGGAAACCCTGATATTTGAAAGTTCATAATATCTGATTGGAAGACTTGAAATACAACATACAAGTTGCACCGACCACTTCTGTGAGACCTGTATGGTTCTTTTGACACATTTTTTTTTTTTTTAAGTTTAAAGATTCGGTCTTAAATCAATAAAGCAATCACTATTAAAACTTATTTTGTCTTCAAAAGAAAGTCATAAATGTTTGGAACGACATGAGGAAGAGTAAATACTGACAAGTTTTGGATTAACTGTACTTTTAAGCGAGACACTACCAATAGCTCACTTATTGTCATAAAATATTTTTTTAAGAAAAGGTACACAAGTATACAGCAAAAGTCTGCAGACTTCATTTACACAATACTTCTTTAATATGGGAGAAGTTTCACCAACAAAAGCATTACAAAAGAGCTCTGGTGAAGCTGTCTGAAGGGTTTGTTTTAGTTTTAATGACAACGTTGTCCTGCCAACTAAATGTTATACATGCTTTGGGTTAGTGGCTGTCTTTATAGCTGCCTTAAAGTGAAATTACAGGGAGCGATTTGGGCGATGTAAAGAACAGTAGCTCTGTGCACTTGCACTAGTGTGAAACAGCTATTTAAAACAGCAATGCACCTTCATATGCAATTGCACTCAAGCCTTTCACATAATCCACAGTTAAAACTCTTAAACCTCAGCTATTCAGACAGCAAGTGTTTAAAATGATGGGATAGTTCACCCATAAACTCAAATTTGGAGCATGGCGGCTGATAAACATCTTATATGTTTGGGACAACAATGAAGGTGAGTAAATGATGACAAAATCTTAATTTTAGAGTCAAAAGAGATTCATAACCCACATGTATTTTAATAGAGAAATTCACTCACCCTCTCCCTCTCCATACTTGGCACTGTGTGCCCATGTTATGCCACTTTGGAAACCCAGTTCCCTGCAAACCACATTAGCGAGTTTAATGTCAACCTCGTCGTCACAAACTGTGCCCCACGTCCCGTTGTGCAGGACTTCAACTCGTCCCTCATTTTCTCCGTGGTTGATACCGGCCAGTCGCACTTTGGCAGCGGGAGCACGCCTTGACCGGACAGGCGATTTAGGACGTGCATCCATCCTCAAAAAGAGGAGTGTGAAGGTAAAAACACACAAGGGAAAGATGGCCCGAATCATGACTACACACAGATGAGGCTTCTGGAATAGAAAACAATAAGGGTCCATGTTAGTAAATTAATTACTAAATTAAATTAACAGTAATAGTGAGTGATAGAAATAAATTGAGTTGTAACTATCGGCTGGTCACGTGATCTCAATATGGCAGCCTCCATGAGGTGACCCACTACATGTAAAATGATTCTTTGTCTAAACATGTTTTGCAAAAGCAATTTTTTTAATTTTTGAGTCTGAAATTCTCACACGTTAAAAAATAAATACGACCTCACATTGTGTCAATCACATTTACACACTGCCTCCGTGTGTAAATATTATTTCTGATTTCTTTCTTTTTTTATTTTGTAGTTAATTATGACTGCCTCTGAAACTTTCATACATGTGTTTTTTTTTGTGTGTTCGTAACAACTAGCAAGCATTTTGAGAGGCGTTTTGACAATACAGAGCCACCGAATGACGAAAACGACAAAATGCATGAATTTTAGACTTAGTGTGCTAGGCCACCTTTCACTTCAACGTCGAAACAAAAATGTAACATATTATATTTTGTATAAAGAGTTTTAAGACAAATCAATTTGAAGACCATCTGATTTTTTTTCATTGTTTTCAACTAAACTAAAATACATTTTATTTCGCATTTTTAAATCTTAAGTTGCATCCCAAATGACGCACTAAACACTATGCACGTGCAATCAGAATTATCGTAAATACAAGTTTTCAAGTCCAAAAAACATTACACTCTCTCAAATCATATTTATCACTGGGAATCTTGGGAATAATTTAAACACCCAAATTCACAAGTTGGGCAGGCCACAAACTTTAAACATGGCGGATGGGAGAACCTTTGCAGCTGTTACTGGAATTATATATTTGTTTTTTCTTCAACAGCTACATCGCATTGTCATGTCGTTAGAGTAGTGCATATTTACATATATAAATAACCATTGACTGAAATTCCTTGTCATTTTCCCAATAAATAGGCAATAATGTTCTCCATGATTTCTGTTCTTTCCGACAACAAAGCTTAATGTGACAAGCTCGTAATCACAACTTCAGAAGTTGGAAATGTTCTGCAACTATATACTCCACCGTGTAGTGTATGAATTTTTATAAGGTTTTCTTGTCAATCAACATCAGGTCTGATAGCCCCTCCCCCTCCGCTACGTAACTAAAGCTGCGTCAACTGAATGCGTGAAGCGTCCAACATTCCAACCTTGGCTTTTTCAATTAATTAAGTGCATCTTCAAGATATTTAAAGTGCACTTTTTCTTTTGTTGATTTTCTGTGAGCAAACACTCGCACTATTTATATTACAAAACGTCATATAGCATATTAGCAGTGAATTGGGACGCACCTTTAATATCCCAAATATTATATTTTATATATTATTCTTTATTTATTTTTTTATTATTATTATTTTGGAGTTAATTATGACTCAGACATGCTCAGGTTTAGTGAGGTTGAAATAACCGATTTGTACATGTTGCTTTGGGTGTGTTAGATGGTTAGATGGATGGAAATTTCAATTAGAGGTGTGATAACAGTAACCTTGTAGGCCTAAGAAGCAACATGATTTTATAAGTATCCAAACAGCAAACAGGAATAATAAGCTATTATTTCTCAATTTCATTATGGAGACACATTATTAGAGATACAAATCGATATCAATGTATATCAGATGCACATAACATTTCAACCTCATCCAGGTAAGTGGCCAGAAATCATGGACTTAATTCATGAATCAATCAATAAAACACACTATAACATAAAGCATGTACTAAAAGAAGAAGAATAAACCTATTCAATCACATCATTAGCAGCCCAAGCAGACGCACCAAAGAGTTAAAAATCAAATTTCACTCACCTGGCAGCCACGCGTAAGTCACGTCAGTCACGGACTGGAGGAAAATGAATGAAGGAGAAAGTTGAACATACACTCTGTCCCTCTCCTCCCTCCCTCTCTCTCTCTCTCTCTCTCTCTCTCTCTCTCTCTCTCTCTCTCCATCACTTCTACATCCCTCCCACAGATGTCTCCATCTATATCTCAATGTGTTTCACATCAATGGCTCTACAGCAGAATTTTTTTTAGCAGTTGTTCGCTTTGTAGTATATTTGCACTCAATTTTATACATACATTCATAGATTCTAATATTTAATATGTGTACCACCCCTGCAGCTTTTGAACCTTTTTTTTTTTTAGGGTTTACATACACGTGTGTGATCATTTTCTTTTAAATAACTTATGATTTACTAAATAAACCATGGCATTTGTAATTATTTGACTATAACGTTTATGCTTGTAATGTTGCTTTTTAGGTCAAGGAGACTCATCTGAACTTCATTCTGGGTTTTATAACAAATTAAATTAGAAGTTGCTATATCGTTTGACAATCTTTTATCATTTCACAACTTTTTATGGCCAACTTTGTAACACGAAGCCACAGGAAGATCTCGTGTCCTGAATAACTCCATATGTCACGATTCCAAGGAACTAAAAGAAGCTGCATAACCACATAGTAGATGTTTCTTCAGTGAGCTGACCACAAACCTCACTCCCAAAAAAGCAAGACATCCTTCTCTTTAAAACCACAGCAAGGATTGTCTTAAATATCTCAAGACGCATTTTCACCTCTGCCACACTTCGTCTGGTCACTCTGTAGATAAACCGGACAGCTACTTGTTTTTATTTGTGCATACTTTAAATGTTTACATGTCTGTGAGCTTTATGAGTGTAAAGTTTGTGACAAAATTAGCCTGTTCTGTTGATAGAGTATTTCAGTTTTTAACAAACCTCAGAAGGACTGTTTTAGATTCACAGGCATATTTCTAGCAAATCACATCCATAACTGTGCGCAAGGTGGGCTGCACCTCAGAAACAATTACCGTAACTTCCATGCACAGATTTAGAAACAAACAAGAGAAATTTTAAAACACCCACAGGGGAAAAAATGGCCTACCATCAAGAGGAAATATTTAACAATTTCCTTAATTACCTAACCTCTGTTCACATATTTGCTGTCAATTGAAAAGTAGCAATTTAGTTGTTTTTGTGCCAAAGTTGGTGTGAGTGCTTGAATGCAGGTCCTTCCCACTGGGTAGACCAAGAGAGGAAGAGGGGGGTATAGCGAATCAAAGAGAAATCTTGCCAACTGACTGGAAGAGAGAAAAAGAGCCAAAAATATACATCAGCACCTCAAATCAACAAGATTGCTATTTCTACCTATATACATATACATTATATGTGACTCATCATGGGTGGCATACTGTATGTGACACACTGGCAGCCAAAAGTTTGGACACACCCATCAATCCTTATTATTACTGTTTTTTTCCACATTTTATAATAATGGCAAAGTCGTACAAACTATAAAATAGCACAAACTGAATAAGATATTGATTTATATATATATTCATACTGTAGATTATAGCTGTACTCACTTAATCAACTTTGTGAGAATTTACAAAATTAACAACGAGTTAATTTTGTTACAACGAGTACATCGAGCAAACAAGTTTACAAAGTCCCAACTGTGACTTTAGTAAAATTGAGATATAGATTCGCTATTAAAACATACATATATATATATATATATATATATATATATATATAACATAATATAAAATGGCAATTGTAACATTAAGTGGCAATTTTTTTTTACTCTAATTAAAAGTCATATGGATCAACTAACTAAGAAAATAATAATTAACAATCTAAAGAAATTAATTTTGTTTTTAAATTTAAGCAGGTGCGCAGTTACTTGACCAAAAGTGACAAAAATGATATTTCAAATAAAACATCCTGAAAAATATCTGCAAAAACTTTAAGCAGCACAACTGTTTTCAATAATGATAATAATCAGAAATATTTATTGAGCAGAAAATCAGCGTATTAGAAATATTTCTGAAGGATCATGTGACACAACTGGAGTAATTATGCTGAAAATTCAGTTTTGCATTCATAGGAATAAATTACATTATAAAATATATGAAGTTAGAAACGGTTTCATATTTTACAATATTACTGTTTTACTGTATTTATGATCAACTAAATGTAGCCTTGATGAGCATAAGAGATGACAGTCACATTTATTGTATTATTAAAAATCTTACTGAAGGTTTGTCTGCTATGTATACTGTAAAAATGAATGCGCTTTATCTAATAAAAAAATTGTGGCAACAGATTACAAGCAATATTATTAATTAAATTTAACAATAGAATTGAGTAATAATTAATCAAATTATTTCATTAAAAGTTAACCATTGAAAATGAGTAAAACTTTTTTTAGAAAGTATGTTTAAGTCACCATTATGGTGATCAGTGTTTGTTTTTGGTTGTTTTAAAATAACGGTTTTCTCCTTCAGTGATTCTGCTTGTTAACATCAGGTGTCTTCAATGTTGCCAATATCAAATAAAGATTGATATTTTAAGGAATATTTTGATTAAGTATTACTCAATTATATTTTTTTTCAATTTAATTAATAATATTCCTTGTAATCTGTTGCCACAATTTTATTGATTAGATAAATCATATTCATTTTTACAGTGAACTTTCAAGCATTTATATAAACTGTTTTGATGTTTATATGACCATGAGAAACAAATTCAGACAAATGCATCCAAACGTTGACTGTTAGCATACTTCACCTATAATATAAGACAATGCTAGTAGAAGTAACACAGTCTCATCCTAAAAAGTCATATAACTGACGTTTTGGGACGTATTTTGACCATACGTCAATATCCGCCTTTTTAGGGCCCCCTTAAACGTCGGTAGATGGCGATCCCGGGCCGTCATACAACTGACGCTTTACCTTTAACGTCAGTTAGGTGACGGGTTAGGTTTAGGGTTAGGTTTAGGTATGGGGTAGAGTTAGGATCCCATAACCTCATCTACCGACGTTTAAGGGGGCCCTAAAAAGGCGAATATTGACGTATGGTCAAAAGACGTCCCAAAACGTCAGTTATATGACGTCTTGGGATGAGACCGGGTTGGTAGAAGCATCATTATCTGATTTGAGTCTCCTCAGCAAGTGTGTGCACTGTGAAGAATGTCTAATGGACATAGATGGCAAGTCCTTGTTGACTCTGCGTGTGTGTGTGTGTGTGTGAGAGAGTCTGTGAAGGGAAAGCAGAGGCTCTTAAGAGACGCTGCTGTGGTGGGGCGCTGCCTCAAGCTCTGTAATTACCCACCGAGACCCGGCTCTGCCCTTAGCCACAATTTGCGGTGTCATGAAATAAATACATGCTCTTCAACAATAAACAACTGCCTTTTCAAATTATAGCACCTCCTCCGGTTTACCCCCACCGTCACCTCCTGTTTTCTCTCTCTTCTCATGAGTCGCAAGTTTCATAACGCAGGCCTCGCACGTCCATGAAGGGCACCACTGTCTGAGAAAATACTGCCATGGTTTTCACGAAACGCTGCATAAAGCACTGGAGTTTGTCTTGTAAATGTACTGCCTTTCAGAGCAAAGTGGGAAATTACAATATTGCTGATGTGACAAATCTAGAGCACAATTTTAGTTGTTTAAGATCTTCACTACTTTAAAATATTTCTTTCGAAGTTTCTCTTCGAAGTTGCGCATTTAAAGCCCCCATGAAATCAAAATTAAAGTTGTTTGGCTTTACTGTTATCTATAAGCTTGTGTTCTCCACAACAATGACAAAATTCACATTTAGAAGATATAAGCATTCAAAATTCTCACCTCCACCAATATGGATCAATATTTTGATGACATCACTCTGCACTTCAGCTTTTCTCATCAGATTTTCTGTCCAATTAAATGCTCTCTAGAATCTAAAGTGTCCCGTCCCCAACATTATTAATAGACGCTGAAGGTTACAATTGGTCTCTTAACACATTTACTATTTTACTATGGTGACTGGTACATAGTGCACTACATGGGGATAGGGAACGATTCAGATAGTGTAAATATGCTTTTCATTGGGGCGAATGAAGTCTGGTTTAGTGTCATGTGTACACAGTCTGCTCCGGTCTAAAACACATGACTTCAAAAAGAGGATAGATTCGGTACGGACCAGAAAACCTATCGAACCCATTTGAATTTTGCACATAATTCTATATTGTAAAGCGATATGAGATTAGGAGGAGAAACGGTTAGAGAACGGCTCTGGCGAGCTGTCTGTGATATAAACTAAACACTATTGGCTATTTTTAAAAAGGGGAGGAGCTGTTCGATGTGTCCCGCCCTGTCTTTCTGTTTTAGTGGAAGTTAGGTCAACACATTGAATTATGTTGCTGTTTCAAGGCACTTCTGTAGGCCTTTAAAGGGATCGTTCACCTAAAAATAAGAATTTATTGTCATCATTTACTCACTCTCAAATTTTTCCAAACCATAAATATATTTGTTCTGCTGAAGATATTGGAGATATTTGGAAGAATGTTTAGAATGTATAGTACTTAAAAAAAAATAAAAAAAATAAAAAAAATAATAATAATAATAATAAATAAATAACAAAAAACTATGGTAACATGGGTTACAATTTCCAGTTTATAAAACCTAATACTATAACCTATTTTCCTTTGTTCATCACCACCATTTAACTATGAAGAATTGCTTCATCAGCCCATTTTGCGGCATGGTTTCTCAGCTGCCATGTTAAATTCATTCAAGCGGACATTATGCCTATGACATAGACGACCCTAATGGAAACCACATTTTGAGCAAATAGAGCTTTATTAATGCATGCTCATCCCCTACTCTCGATTTTGGCAGTGATGCTTAAAGGGCATAAGACAACGGACAATCATCTCAAACAAAGTGTCGACATTACACAAATAAAAGATTCCAACGCGTTCTCATCCCAGGGCGTCATATAGTGAAATTTCGTCTAAATCCAATGCACATGGCACCCTTTAGCGTCAATATAACACGCACATGTGCTCTGTACTCTCTGCAGAGTTTTGTTCGGTAGTAGGTTTTAGTTGTAGGGTAGGTTTAGACCACTAGGAGGCGCCTTCTGGCCCAGATATATCTGCGTCTCATATTGACGCTAAAGGGTGCATTTCTTTGAAAAATACACTCACCAAAAGGAATATTAGGAAAACCTGTTCAATTTCTCATTAATGCAATTATCTAATCAACCAATCACATGGCAGTTGCTTCAATGCATTTAGGGGTGTGGTCCTGGTCAAGACAATCTCTACAAACTCTAAACTGAACATCAGAATGGGAAAGAAAGGTGATTTAATCAATTTTCAGCGTGGCATGGTTGTTGGTGCCAGACGGGCCGGTCTGAGTATTTCACTATCTGTTCAGGGATTTTCACACACAACCATTTTTAGGGTTGTGCGTGGTCTTTCAGATGGTAGAGTCAGAATTTGGCATAAACAGAATGAGAACATGGATCCATCATGCCTTGTTACCGCTGTGCAGGCTGCTGGTGGTGGTGTAATGATGGATGTTTTCTTGGCACACTTTAGGCCCCTTAGTGCCAATTGGGCATCGTTTAAATGCCACGGCCTACCTGAGCATTGTTTCTGAACATGTCCATCCCTTTATGGCCACCATGTACCCATCCCCTGATGGCTACTTCCAGCAGGATAATGCACCATGTCACAAAGCTCGAATTGGTTTCTTGAACATGACAATGAGTTCACTGTACTAATGGCCCACACAGTCACCAAATCTCAACCCAAGAGCATCTGTGGGATGTGGTGAAATGGGAGCTTCATGCCCTGGATGTGCATCCCACAAATCTCCATCAACTGCAAGATGCTATAATATTAATATAGGCCAATATTTCTAAAGAATGATTTCAGCACCTTGTTGAATCAATGCCACGTAGAATTAAGGCAGTTCTGAAGGCGAAAGGGGATCAACCGCAGTGTTAGTATGGTGTTCCTAATAATCCTTTAGGTGAGTGTATAACGGAGCTTTGTTCATTGAATGACAGCTTTTTAATGATTATAAAGGAGCATTATTACTGCACTGTCTAGGCCATAAGATAATAATTTATATATATATATATATTTATTTATTTTTTGCCATGCTTGACAAGACACCACACATTTCAGTACATAGTCCCAGCCGCATATAAATGCGGGTTTCACTCTCAAAACTTGATGACTGATTCGGCTAAAAAAAAAAAAAATCTCAACAATATCTTCTCTCAAGCTTGCAAGGATTCTAAAACCTGCAAATCACAATTATGACATCTCAATAAGAACCCAAATATTTCTCATACAATTCTTTCAAAAACTAATCTGAGCTGACATATCCACAAGCCATTTTACTTTCATAATACAATAATATTGCATTTCAGAGAGAAACACATTTCACAAGAAAAAATGTGAGGCAGCCGCAGGACTGGAAGTTATTTTGATTAAAGATTATGACAAGCTATTTTTTTTTTAATTGTGCTTGATTGAGGCTGACAAACCATGTAATAACAGGACAATTAAGAGCAAATGTGAAAAAAATATAATTGGGTAAATAATGTAAATTTTGTTTTCATGATGCCTTTAATTAAAACAATGCATTTAATTGTATTGAGAAGAGCAACACATAAAATAAAAAATAAAAAAATGAATAAATTGAAATAATGTGTATTCATTGAGGTTGTTGCTCAATGCAGTTGAAATGCAAGTTAACTGATTAAATGCTTTATAATGCTCAGACATAAGAAACACACATTTCCTGGAAAGGTCTGACTTGGTTTAAGGGAGGCCTCTAACCAACAACTGTATTATCAGAAGACTTTCATAAACAATACATACAGACCACAAACGCTCCAGGCCACAACAGCAGGCTGGTGGTTGGTTATATGCTGTAGGTCGCATAAATCTTTTATTTTCCCTGACAGACTTACTTTTAGACACAGAAGAATTTTGCCTGATTCCAATGGTTCTGATTTGCAATGTGCTCATATGGAACGCCTGTGATCACTCAAACCACAGGTCACTTTCAAGTTCTGCTGATGAAAGAAAAGCATTTTATGATGCTACAGTTATTTTGGATATTTATAGTCTGATGCTCTAAAGATACTAGATATATACAGAAATTAAGACAGTAATATTCAGTCATATTATATCAAGATTTAAGTTGGATATTGGAGCTTATTTGTTTTTGAGTGTACTTAAAATGTATTGTGAATCCTGCACAAGAACTCCCCCTAGTGCCAACTGATATATAGACGTGATTTTGGAGTTATTATTCAAAGGTGGAAGAGGACCCTGCATTTACACCGACTACCGTTCAACAGTTTGACGTTGGTAATATTTTGGTAAGTCTCTGAAGCTCACAAAAGCTGCATTCATTTGACCAAAAAAATATTTAACAATGTAATTTATTCCAGTGATGACATGGCTACAATTTCAGCAGCCATTTACTCCAGTGTCAAATGAATCGTGATCATTCAGAAATCATCCTATTTGGTGTTTTGTTACTCATGAAATATTTTTTCTTATTATTATTTATGACTCTTACATGATATTTTTTCCCCAGCATTCTCAAAAGAACAATTTATTTGAAATATAAATCTTTGTATGTCTTTTCTGTAACTTTAATGCATCCTCCTTTAATGCATTAATCAATTTAATGCATCCTTTGTTGAACAATCTAACAGACTCCAAAACATTTGAACAGATTAGTCCATATTTTTTTTACAGCATTAATTAATCTTTGTTCATTAATGCACTGTAAACTAACATAAACAATGTTAAAACAGATACAACTTTTAAGTAACAATTAACCTTGGTTTATAGTAAAAGTGTAGTAACCATGTTCTTTTTTTTGTATTTTTACTCCAAATACCACACTGTAAAAAATATTGTTGGTTTAACTTAAAATTAAGGCAACCAGGTTACTTACTTTAAGTTCATTGAAATGGAAAAGGTGAGTTAATACAATGAAGGAGATTGATTTAATCATCAGAAACTCAAAATTATATGTTATCTGAACTAATTAAATTATTTAAGTTGATTTGACAAAAGAAAAAATGTGATTACTAATCATGAAAAGATTTTTTTTACAGTGATGCGTTTTTAATGTTTCACGTACACATCACTGTAAAAAATGTTTTCAAGATTTATCACAACATTTTTTCTTTTGTCAAATCAACTTAAATAATTCATTTAGTTGAGATAACTTATTATTTTGAGTTTCTAATGATTAAATTAATCTCCTTCATTGTTTTAACTCACTTTTTCCAGTTCAATCAACTTAAAATTAAGGCAACCAGGTTACTTTTTGGGGGTTTATTTCTACTAAAACCATGGTTATCTTTTTTTTTTTTTTTAATAGTAATGTCACTCCCATTTTAAAGCTTGGAAGAGCCAGTATGTATATATATATATATATATATATATTCATATTCTATTACAGATTGTGTTTGGCCAAAGAAAAGAAAGTCATGCACACCTAGGATTGCTTGAGGGTGAGAAAATTACGAGATAATTTTCATTTTTGGGTGACCTAACCCTTTAATATCAGTGTTTCCAATTAGTCAAAACAGCATAAAATATTGCACTTATGCTAAAATTAATGTTTGGTTTTCAATGTTTTCACAGGTGCCGTGAACCAAATGTTGAACCAAAGGAATCAAAGGCCCAGTCAGACTGAGCCAAAGCACAACCAAAACAACGTTCTTCTGGAAATGTTCTTTTTAACCGCTAGAGAACCACAAGTAAAAGTAAGTACTTTTAACATTAAGAGTGGTAAGTGTTGTACAGTTATTGTTCATTGCTAGTTCATGATGCTAGTACAATTCTGCAGGGGAATCCCAGTGGCCAAACAGATATAGTGTAAACAAGGCATACTGTAAAAGGCGAATGTAATGGAAGCTTCAGACTGCCACAAGTTAAACTGTACTTTGTCCATTACAACTGGACAGCAATTGCTGAATTAAACATGAACATGGCATTTCTTTCCACATGCTACTGTACTATGGAGCAAGCTACAAACTCATTGAATTGCACAAACAGAGGATGAAGAAAATCAGCTTTCAATACATTTATTACAATACCTTTCTTTCCATTGCCATGCTAAATAGGGGTAAAAAGAAAACATGATTAGAATATGGAGCATGAGTGTGACTTAAAAATAGGACCGAAGAGAATGTGAAGATCAGCAAAACTCAAATCAAGCAAAATGACAGAAAATCCTCTATTTGAGTGATAAATGTCCTTTAACGCACGACTGAGTTATTAACTGCTCTTTGAGCAGCACAAAAATGAGGAATTGTGACTGCCAGGCAAATTCATTTAAACAAGGTATTAAAACTAAAATAAAAACAAGAATAAATGACAACCACAGCTGTAATCTTCAACCCCAAATCAACATGCGACACACACACACACGTAACTTCGCTATTATTCAGTTTGTCCCCCATTTCACAGCCTAAAAATGAAATAAAAACATGACTTTTTGTTAATGGGGGACCTCCGCTTAAATATTAATGCTAAAATAACCCGTCTGATAAGAAAGCAAATGCTTTTAAGGCACTCTGGACTGTCAAGGTACCAAAAGTAATGACGTTTAAAGCCCAATACAGCACTAGTGTGACTACAGACTGCATAAAAGCCTAAACAGTCTTAACTTAAAACTGAGGAAAAAGTCCTAAATAGAGTAATGTACAAAGGTAGCAGATGTGTTTGTCTGGGGTCCACTAGGTAAACATTAGTGTTTCTTTGGTTAAGTGTGTCAGAACAGCACAAGGAGGTCATACGAGTTTACAAATGCATTGCAACGAGAATATTGCTTGATGAAATCATTATCATACTTATAATAATATTATAAACAGAAATGTGCAGGCTGTTCTACAAGAAAATGTCATGAGGTGGAAGACATGACGAACCGTCTCAAATAGCCAACTTCCTTCTCTTCCACTGAACCAAGAGCAAAAACGTAAAATTAAAAAAAGAGGAAATGATGAAAACTGTCCGATCAACTTTCAGCTGACGGCATGAAAAGTGCCAAATCCAAGGCAAGAGTTTCCTGTGTCTCAGAGCTCTTGCATAATATACACAGAAAACCACATGATTTTCTGCATTGTGTGGAGCAGCATGACACAATCTACAACTGAAACCGGCGTTCGTGATCACATGAATGTAAAACCATGTACACATTTATAGATAAATGCAAATAATATCTATATGACGATGACACACCATCAGAAAATACCACAAATCGTCAATACTTTAGCAACGTGACTGACTCTACTCAAACATCTACTCTTGGGGAGGGGGGACAACATCCACCATAGTAAAGTGCAAGACTGCAAGAAAAACAAAAAGGAGAACTGAAAAGTTTGTGAAAGATTCAAAAAAAATTGCAATACTGATATGCCCTCACAGGTCTTGAATTTAGGGCCGTTTTGAGAGAAGAATCCGGGAAAACATCTTTAGTCCAATCAGAAATGACTACAAACATGACGAATGAACAGCTAGAGTGTGTTTGAGGTGGTGGAATCAAATCAAAACACACACGCAAAACTAATTTCCCTTGAATGCCCTTCTCTCTCCCGCTCTTTCTCTCAACGTTAAATCCACATATGGCATAGTATTATTCTTTGGTACGATTCTCCTCATTTTGAGGGGTTTGTGACCTCAAATGCAGTGTGACGGTCAATTCTCTCAGGATGAACTCAAAATGTCAGACCAGATCTACGGCTCTTCTTTGGGGTTGGTGGTGTTGGCACAGGAAGAGAGAAGAGAAACCTCAGCAGACGGTGATGCGGTGCAGCGGATCTCTGGCACTCTGCACCACCCAAACCTCACCTCAAAAGAGACACTTTTCCCATAGTCCCGTCTGCTTTGAAATCCAGTGAGGTTCGAATCACTCTGGCCTCAAGAGAGCGTTCGTAAAATGCTGATCCACAATCCTACAGATAATCAAAGTGAAGATTAGAGTCCCTACAGTCATGCAGTCAACTCCCAGAGTTCTTAGGGAGAGGAAGAGAGGCTAGTGTTGACTCAAGGTTGCCAGTCTTTGCCTCGATGATCGGGAATGTGCTTGTAGCGACACCTATCTCCAAAATGACAGCCGGTGGTCCTCCAGAAGTAACACTCATCTCCGTTGACAGGACCTCTGCGTCTTGGCCTGGAAGTAGTACAGATTGGTGTGGACATTTCTTTCAAATCTTCTTGAAGAAGAAAATATTAACACATTAAAACAATTATACATTAAAACCTCAATTACTTTTCTCATTAAATGGATAGCTCACCAACAAATGAAAATTGTCATCATTTTCTCACCCTCAAGTTGTTAAAAACCTGTATGGATTTCTTTCTTCTGCTGGACACACGCAAAAAAAAAAATATTATGTGTAACCAAACAATTATTGGGCCCCATTGACTTTCTTAGTATGGAGAGAAAAAAAAAATCCTATGGAGGTCAAAATGAACGATCAACTGTTTGGTTACACATTATGAATATATTATTTTGTGTTCAGCAGAAGAAAGAAAATTGTCAGGCGTGCAATAACATGAGGGTTAAAAAATTTTTATTTTAGGGTGAACTATCCCTTTAATAGCACGGAGACTAAATTACCCAGTAGCCCCTGCAGGTTGTTGAATGGTAGGTGTCGGGAGGACTTTCTGAATCCGTCGATCTGGATATCTAACCACTAGCCGGGTATTCTCAATAAAATGTCCCTGTTTTACAAAAGGATTTGCATTCAGGTATATAAACAATACATAGGGCTCAAAAATAGCTTGTTTAAAATACTAATAATAATAGAGGGAATGCGCGTGACATCACCGTCGGCCGGAGTGCCTGCAATTACTCACAGTGAGTGGCAAAAAGACTGAGCTGCTGTATTAATGCCGCGAAAACAAAGACAACACATATAAAGTGGGAAAGAGCTTTGCGATTGACTGTACAACTAGATTTGACAAAAAAATCGGAGGTATATATTTACAGACTGCTATAGAAAGAGGAGCAAATGGATCGCTGCAATTCACAGAAACAACTGGACTCCAGTCAGCGAAAGGTGGATTTGCAGTTATCATTTTGTGTCCATACCCATATATTTTGTATTGTTATATATATATATATATGTATATATTAACAACTCACCAATTAAATATTTATCATTGCATATTCTGCATTATTGGATGTTTTTTTTAAAAACACTGACCAAAAAAAAAAACTATAAAGTTTTGGGGCTGGACGATATGATGGTATATATAGGCTAGATATAACACTGATTTAAGTGATCACCCAGATTTAGACCTACCTATATTGTATTTCTATAAAGCGTTCACAGGCAAATTTGCTTTGTGTTTAGGTCTATATTGCTTTTATTTCCCCAGTATCGAAATCAGGCAAACATAAATGTCATGCAACACGATTCCTGGCTGCATGTCAATATCCATGGATCACTGGATCTTTAGTAAGTTGTAAGGAATATTGAGTCCAACATTTAGTTTAAATTGATAAAATTGTTAGTTTTAGTCGCATTTTCGCAGTTTCCCCTATCAAATCCAGTCACGCAGCAGATCAATGCATTCCATCTATTATAATACAATATTTTTATAAAATATACAGCAAAAAAAAAGGCTTGTTTACAATTGTAATAGTATTTTAAACAAATTCAGGATCACAAATGTCTTTACTACAACAACTACAAACAATATAATACTAACAACACAGAATAAATAATAATGAATTATAAGTGTTTCACTCACATTGAGGTTCTCCATTGCACGGGAGGCCATGTTGGCATTCTTAAAGTTAACAAATGCACAGAAACGTTCATGCAGAACCCGAATGCTGTCAATTTCTCCGTAACTGGCAAACATCATCAAAAATTACAAACAAATTCATGGGAAATCATTTTAGAACTAAAAGATTGCAAAAGCGTCAGATCTCACGATTTGAACAGGTCCCGCAGATGTTTCTCTGTCAGTTCTGTGGTCACGTTGCCCACCCACAGGGAATTACAAGGACTTGTGGAGGCGAGTGAGAGAAAGGCAAAGAGAAATACAGAGATAGGATAAGAGGGAAAGAAAAACATTTAAAAATATGAAAAATAATTACTGCAATCAGCTTACCCCGGCAGGAGGAGAGCACAGTCCTGATTTGAAGCTGTAAAATATGGATTTTTTTTTTATTACAACATGACAAATTAGCTTTGATAAATTAACTGTTTAACTGCCGAGTTATTAGAGGGGTGTTATGTATAATGTGAAGCAACATGGCGACTTGTTCATAATATAGAACGATTTAAAAAACAATTGTTTTGACCATTTTAGTTGTACCAAGTTGCACAAAGCTAAGCTTCTTTTGCAATAAAGCCAGACTAATTAATCATTTGTTATGAATAATTATTGTCTTTTGGTTTATATCCTTCAGGTTTGAAATAAAGAGAATTTATTTGTTAAGATTTTTATTATTATTTACAGGCTAAATAACTTGTATATAAGACCATACACAGTACTGTGTAAAACATAATATGTTATGTTTTAATGAAATGAATACTATTATTTAGCATGGACACATTGAATTGATCAAAAGACTTAAGAATCGATTCAAAGAACCCTGAAAAAAAATATATATATAATGGTTTCCACACACACACAAAAAAAATAAGCACCACAACTATTTAACATTAATAATGAGATTATTACAGAAATAAATTACCTTTTAAAATATTTTAAAACAGAGATATTTTTAAATTGTAATATAATAGAACAGTTTCTACAGTACTTTGATAAAATGACTTTCAAGTACTGTGAATTCTGGTCATTCATGGCCCATTACTTTTAAACTAAATTGGCTTGTAGCAATAGCACCCTCAAGTGGTTCATTTCAACGAAGGAAGACAATGAGCTCTCACCCTTTGCTGCAACAACAGCCTGCACTGTATTGTATTTTTCCAGCAACTGAATACTCTGCTCCTCATCATATCCAAGATCCTAATAAGAAGAAAGGAAAGAAAATCCTGAAATTATATTTGTTTCTTATGCACTATTCCTGCCCTGGATTGCATAATTTTTGCTTTCAAACTAGAATTTTTAAAGCTAATCCCATTGTAAACAGAATAATTCCATCAAAAATGAAAATGATTTACTCATCCTATTGTTATTCAAAACCTGTTTGACTCATTTTCTTTCATTGGAAGAAAAGTTGTTTTTATTTCAACCAAAGGTATGCAGCTCTAAAAATTACATTTGGATTAGTCATACAGACAAAATATTTTTTTCTATTTGTGTTCCACTTAAAGAACCAAAAATAAGTAAATGATTTAGGAATAAATATCTTGCGCTTTTATGGATCACATTTTATCAGTACGTTAGGTAGTGTTACATGGGAATTGATCCAAAACCTTTACTAATGGTTCAATAGTTCAACAATAGAAGATCCAGTCCTTACCGTAAGTTGTTGCACTTTAGAGTACAAGAGGTCATTGACGGCTTCTTCACAATCTTGATCTAGTTTTAGCACCTGTTCCATGGCTTTCTCAGCTTCACTGTACCTCTATTACAAACAAAACCACATGCAAAGTTATTGATACTCACCTAAATGCAGATTAACTCCATATACAGGGAGAAAAACAAACAAATACGCCATTGGGTCGCACCTTAAGCCCCATAAGTGCACTTCCCCTACGGTAATAGCCTTTGGGCCAATCAGGAGCCATGTGGATCGACTTCTCAGCATCTGCGAGGGCCAGAGTATACTGCTCTAGGCAACAGTAGCAGTAGGAGCGATTCCCAAAAAACCTGTTATCAAAATATAAGAGTGAATTCATGAAACCAACAAAAATGAAAATACATGCAATTTGGTTTCAGTCAACTCAAAGCGTCACCTGTGATCTTTCGGGTCACATTTGATGGCCTCTGTAAACAGACTAACGGCTTCTGCGTACTGGCCCTCCTGAACGAATCGAATCCCTTTTTCTGGAGTGAAAAGACAGACAGACTTATATGGAGGAGACTGGATTAGTAAAAAAATAAAGTGAGTTTAACTAAAAACTAAAAGTAGGTCATTAACTTAACCTCATGTCATTCCAAATCTGTACTGACTGTAACTGACTTTCTTCCATGGAACAGAGTGTATTTCAGATCATCCTAGAATATATTTTTCATATAATGAAAGTGAATGAGGACTGGTGCTGTCAAGGTGCTGTCAAGTAAGGAGCCCCTAAAGGGACATGGTGATGGTGGGGGTGAAATGTTTTGCGTTTACCAGAGAAATTTTGAATTTCCTTGCAAAAGTTTTGTGTTGCCCAAGAAAACTTTGTGAGACTTTCTGAAAAACACAAAGTTTCTTGGGGGAACGCAAAGGTTTGGCGAACAAACGCCATGTTTCTCAGGAGAACAAGAAAAGCCAGAGTTTCTTGCAAAACCTTCGCATTCCCCCCTGATAAATTTTGTGTTTCTCAGAAAGTCTTTGAATTCCTTGAAAAAGTTGTCTCCCAAGAAAACCCAAAGTTTCTCTAGAGAAAGCAAAGTTTTGCAAGGAAACCCAAAGTTTCTCAGGAGCAAAAGTTTTGCAAAGTAAACCAAAGTTTCTCAGGAGAACACAGAGGTTTTGCAAGGAAACCCAAAGTTTTTTGAGAGAACGCAAAGATTTTGCAAGGAAACACAAAGTTCTTTTACGAGAGGTTCTCTCGTATTGCATAAGTTTAGCTTATGCTACGGGAAAGATTCATCTTCTCGAGATAATGAAGCCAAATATCCTTAATTTTGCATTCATTGTCAACACAGTGCAGCAGCTAGCAGACCTAGAGCAGGCCGTTTAGCGTGCTCATAGGCTGCTTTGTGGGAGTGACGTCACGTCCAATTAAGGGCGCTCATGCCGTCACCGTATCCAAGCCTGCCAGAATAGGCGTGGCTTAGTCTATAAGCAGGACTCGGAGGATGTTTCTCTGATTTCCATCTCTTCAGCGAAGCTGCACAAAACAGCCACAAGCCAGCTAGGATAGTGACTGAGGAAACCGGCCGTCTTCGCCACCTTCAGCCTTCCGAAGCGAGCTACGCTATCCGGAGACCTATCCTTTTTACTATTGCATATCTTAGCATCTAAAAGAGTACGAGTGTCTTTTTATGGATGCCTCATTTCACTTGTGGCTCGTGCAGAGCCCCGCTCAGTGTCGGCGACCGCCACGTTATCTGCACTCTCTCTGCTCTCTTCAGGAGGATGTGAGCACTGTGAGGAGCTTCCGATGTCGACCCTGCGGGCTTTACTCGAAGCATTCCTCGGTGAAGCTCTCTCCGCCCATTTGCAGGACTGCACAGAAAGAAAAAAAAACGCCATTCTCAAAAGCCGCCGTGACACGCTTGCCTGATTCCCTTCCTCTCCACCCCCTCTCACCGACGTGCAGCTGCCGGCTACGGCCCGCCCTGCCGTCAAGTTTGAGAATGAGGCGGAAGCATTCCTCGATGAAGCTCTCTCCGCCCTTTCCAGGACTGGACAGAGAGAAAAAAAAACCCCGTTCTCAAAAGCCGCCGGTACCTGTGGCCACTGCGACGCACTTGCCGAATTCTCTACCTCCCTCTCCGCCCCCTCTCACCGACGTGCAGCTGCCGGCTACGGCCCGCCCTGCCGTCAAGTTTGAGAATGAGGCGGAAGGACCCGCCGCAGGAGACAGCTGCTCAATCCTAGCTTCTGATAGTGAGGAGTGGTCAAGCTCTCAACGCTCCGCCTCCTCGTCGATCCAGGAGACCGGCAGTACCCACGCTGTAGTGGATGCCGGGCTGATGTGCCTCCTCTCAGAGGCCGTTGACCACCTCGGCCTCGAGTGGACGCCGCCTAAGGAGCCCGGGCCTAACAGACTCGACGGCGGCTTCCTTCAAAGACGCCGCCGTCAAGCGCCCGCTACCAGACCTCCACCCTTTCTCCAAGAGCTGCATGCTGAGCTTGCTAAATCGTTGAACACTCCTTTCTCCATGAGGCTTCATTCTCCCAAGTGGACGGCGCCGCTGAGAAAGGACACAGCTCTCATTCGCTTATTCCCACTTATCTGGGTTCCCAGAACGTTTCCGGGACTCATGAAGTGGATGTCGGCACGTATGGTGTTGACAAAGGGTTCCCCTTAGCGTAAGCTAAACTTGTGCAATAAGAGAGAACCTCTCGTAAGAGAACGAATCCGGTTACCTAATGTAACCTTGGTTCTCGCTAGATGAGGGAACGTGTATTGCCTATTGTGTATCGTGCCACGAGCGCCATTTCGCTTCAGTCGATAAAAACCAGAGAAACAGCCTCCGAGTCCTGCTTATATACACTAAGCCACACCCATTCTGGCGGCCTAGGACGCGGTCAGGGCGCGAGCGCCCATGATTGGACGTAACGTCACATTGGGCTCGCTGGTAGGCTGTGCAGTTCCCGCAGTGGAGCATATGAGCACGCTAGACGGCCTGCTAGCTGCTACACTGCGTTGACAATGAATACAAAATTAAGGATAATTTTTTGGCTTCAATAACTCGAGAAAATGAATCTTTCTCGTAGCGTGAGCTAAACTTACGCAATACTCGTTCCCTCATCTAGAAAGAACTGAGGTTACGTTAGGTAACTGATTAGTTTCTCAGGAGAATGCAAAGGTTTTGAGGAAACCAAAAGTTTCTCGGGAGAACGACAAGGTTTTTCATAGGAAACCCAAAGTTTCTCAGGAGAATGCAAAAGTCTTCTGAAGCCAATTGAAATTTAATTCCAAAGACTGTCCAGGACTTTTTCGAATTCTCACGTTCTATGCTCAATGGAAGAAAGAAACCATAGAAGTTTGAAACAAAATAACAGTAAGCAAATAATTACCATTTTAATTTTGTGCTGAACTACAAAAAAAAAAATATATATATATATATATTCACATTGGAAATACCTGCTTTGTCTAATCTGACAACTTGAAGTAATTTGTTTTTTGTGTGTGAGAAAGAAAAGAATTACACACCTACTAGTAAGGCACTTCTTTTAGTTTTAGCATCTGATAAGCCAATGACCTGCTAAAAAAAAGTATATATTAATTGCAGGTTAATGATATTACAATAATATACAAGGATAATACATTAATTAGGGGTTATTTTCAACAATGTCTTCAATGTCTTAAGAACACAACGCAAATGAAAGAAATGAGACTGATGACAAGAAGAGACTGCACGATTTTAGCCCCCATTTTAGTGACAGTTTTGTGGAAATAAACAAATGTGCAAAATTGTTCATGTGAGTGACAATTGTGTAGTATACGTATGTTCAAAGAATTATTTTTTTCAATTCATTTCAACAAGAAGAAATCCAGCACAAGAACCTGTCCCACACATGATTTAATGCTATTTCATGTGTCAATTCTTATTTGTATGTGTGGTTATGAAACATAGTTTGTAGACCAGACAGAGTTTTCTGCGATTCTTCCAATTGAAATGTTGTGTATTGTGAGACCACTGTCGCCGATCTGTCGTGTAATGTGCACACAGCAGAAACTAAACAGACACTAGACTATATTGTAGCATGTGAAAAGCAGTGCGAGAGCAGTGTGAATCCAGCATATGAACTGGGCTTTCTGGGTAGACGCACAGTATGGTGAAACATGCAATCCGTCATAAAAGTGGCAGCTCTATCAGCTGAAACAATAAAAGCTGTCATATAAGTCCACAGTGACAGCACCTTACAGATTTGTAAACTACATTAATACCCAATAATCCCAACGCCCAGGTCCACCTTTAAAACACAAGAGCATGTAAGTCCCACAGATGGCAACAAACCAGAGGACACTGAATAAACAGTTAAACTCACTTCTCCAGTCCTGCTCTCATTTTCCTTGTTCTCTTTCGATTTGTGAGCTCCTTTACTTTTAGCTTTGGGTCGAATGTGATTGACAGCATTGGCGACAAAAGCACTGTTCACATCCCACCCTGGGTCCTGAACATGAGGAAACAGTGTGGCAAAGTCAGCAATTTAAACAATAAAACATTCAAAGAGCAAATTCTGGAAGTCCATCAGCTATGGCAGTATGGTTATCTCCATTTTCATACCTCCTCACTAGAACGCGCCGTCGGCTGCCGGTTGCTTTTGTTCCCTGAAGCCAGCGGAGGTTCAGAAAGACTTTTACTAGGAGGAGCGACTGGCTTCTCTTCCACCTTTGAAAGGCTAATATCGTCCACCTCCTCTGGCTCAGACTCCTCAGACTCGTCGAGTTCAGAATCAGCTCCAGCGTTCTCATCCTCCTCCTGAAAGAAAAGAAATATCACATCACATTTTTAAAAGTGTGTGTTCAAGTTTCAAAAATGAAAGAATAGACAAAGTACCTCTGTTATAGAACTAGCAATCTGCATTCAAAGGCATCAGTGTCATGCAAATGTCTGGCCTTCTAAAATATCCCGTTTCAGCCAACGGCTAAAGTTCAATACAATTTGAATGCATTTTAAAGCTTGATTTAAGAATCTTGAAAAAAAAAAAGTAGCATTTTCCACTAAAATGTTAAGCAGCACAACAGTGATGATAAGAAATTCATCTTGAGGATCAGCATATTAGAAAGATTACTGAAGGACAATGCGACACTGAAAATTCAGCTTTATAAATCACAGGAATAAATTACATCGCAAAATCTTAAAATAGTAAAGAGCTATTTTAAATGGTAATATTATTTTACTGTATTTTTGATTCAGACTTGATGAGAATCAGAGTGTGTGTATGTGTAAGGAAATTAGTTTATAACGAAGTTACCGCGTCATCCCCAGTTAATTCTGATTGGTCCATTGTTTTAAAGAGGTCATAAACTGGCTTTATAAATTGTATTATATTGTTGTCTGAGGTCAACTTATGATGTTCGCTTGGTTTTGGCATTCAAAAACATCAAAATGAATAAGTAGTAGGCTATTTTGCACCCATGTTTTGAGCCTAGCTGAAAAACGCTCGGTTTTTACGGCCGTCTCGCACTGAAGACTTGGAAGTAAACGCCCACTGCTGTAAGTGGATAACAGTTTTGCATATTATAATGAGTTTCAACTCACTTGGAGGAAATTGTTTTGAAAACGTCCAATGTTGTAAAATGGCAACCGAAATGATTCAACCCAGAGTCCGTGTGTTGCAAAATTCCTCAGGTCCAATATAGATGGCATAGCACCGTTCTTTAACCTTAATCGGTCTGCAAATCCAGTTTTGTTTACAAAACAATCCTCAGTGAAAAGAAGCGAACAGACGGACAATGTTTTACCTCATCAGCTGGAACGTCATTAAAACGTCTCAGGTTACAACTGTAACCTATGTTCCCTGAGAACAGGGAACGAGACAATACGTCGAATGACGCTATGGGGAACGCCTCAGGCGTGACAGGTGTCTGAAATCAAATATCAACTCACAGTAATCAGGTTGACCGGCGACAGCCCGTGCATCATCAGCTTGAATGATGAGCGCGTCAATCTGGATGTATAAGAAGGGCGCCTTGAAACCGTGACAACATCCTATCGTCTGAAGGGACTGTTGCAGGCAGGCCCCGAGGCATGGCAACGAGACGTATTGTCTCGTTCCCTGTTCTCAGGGAACATAGGTTACAGTTGTAACCTGAGACGTTCCCTTTCGAAGGGAACTCAACAATACGTCGAATGACGCTATGGGGAACGAAATACCCACTCCGCCATGCTGAGGGGAGTGCATGCCGAAAGGCAGTGACAACTGTCAGAACCAGTAATTCCAAGAAACACTGAAACCACTCACCCTATGTTACATCGGGCTGTCAGTGACAGCACTCCCTACCGGTCATAGCCCAAGCTAATGAACCAAGAAAAACCAGAACGTAATAACGTGAGTAAATCAGGGCCAGCTCAAAGGCTTTAGGACCACAACTTCAAAATAGAAGGGGTCCCTTCTAGGGAGTGTGGCTAGGGGGCCAAAGAGACCCCCAGCCAGTCACTATTCAGGAGAACACTCCTCCTGAAATGCCCCCAGGCTGGCCTGGTGATCTGTACTAAGACACACAGTCTGGCCATAGCCTGTCCGTCCAAGACAGAGCCTCTGGAAATTGCCTAGAAAAGGCATCCAAAAACTGAAGGCCCGCGAAGCTGGCGGAAACCATCGAGTTTCGGATCACAGAGACGGGATCCTCCGGAGAGTGTGACTCAACCTCGAACCAATGGGAATCGTACACTCAATCCACGAGTTTCCACCCAGTGCTCGCTTTTGAGCACTGAGGAAGTAAGAGAGGGATCAAAAATCAGGAAGGTCAAAGAGACCTAAGACCTGATGACCCCATGTGTGGGGAGCTCCGATACATGAGGGCTCATGTCAGGAAGGCCGTACGTTGTGCGGCCTGAAACCCAACGACCACAGCATGTGGAAGCTCATCCTTCAGGAAAGCCAGAGGCTAGAAACCTGACAGACCCACAATGTTGGGCTACCTCGAAAAAGGTCTAGTCAGACCTAAAACCACAGTTGTGGGAGATAGCTTGAACAAGGGAAGTGCCTGTCGTAATGTATTGCGACAAAGACACATCTACAGTGGGACCCAAAGTGAAGAACCGGAGTCTGAACCACATAAGAAGGGACCGAAGCATACCGCGCGTGACCCTCACCATATGAAATGGATTTTAAAAACTGCACAAGACATCTCGTCAGGTGACTTACCACAATAATAGGTGAAGTATGGGTTTGTGTACTTCACTCTGAATTCAGGAAGGCCTGTTGAGGCCTGTAACCTGGCGTCCACAGTGTGTGGGAGCTCATGGCCAGGAAGGCCTGGTAAGGCCTGTAACCTGGCGACCACAGTATGCGGGAGCTCGTAACCTGGCGACCACAGTATGTGGGAGCTCATAACCAGGAAGGCCTAGTGAGGCCTGTAACCTGGCGACCACATCCGGTGGGAGCTCGTACTCAGGAAGGTCAGTGAGACCCAGCCTGGTGTACCTGAAAAACCACACCAAGTGGGAGCTACTTCCAGAAGTTAGCTCTTAAGAACTCTTAAAGTGGGACCCGAGGAAAGACCGGGGTCTGAGCCACATAAGAAGGGACCGAAGCATACTGCGCGTGACCCTCACCATAAGAAATGGATTTTAAAAAGTGCACAGGACATCTCGTCGGGTGACTTACCACAATAATAGGTGAAGTATGGGTTTGTGTACTTCACTCTGAATTCAGGAAGGCCTGGTGAGGCCTGTAACCCAGCAACCACAATATGTGGGAGCTCATAACCAGGAAGGCCTGTTGAGGCCTGTAACCTGGCGACCACAGTGTGTGGGAGCTCATGACCAGGAAGGCCTGGTAAGGCCTGTAACCTGGCGACCACATTGGGTGGGAGCTCGTACTCAGGAAGGTCAGTGAGACCCAGCCTGGTGACCACAACCTGTGGGAGCTTACTCCACCAAGTGGAAGCTACTTCTTCCAGAAGTTAGCCAGAGAAGGGCGTCCCTGTAGCCAGTGACAGGACGCCACTTAAAGTGGGACCCAAGGGAAGACCGGGGTCTGAGCCACATAAGAAGGGACCGAAGCATACCACGCGTGACCCTTACCATACAAAATGGATTTTAGAAAGTACACAAGACATCCCGTCATGTGATTTACCACAATAATAGGTGAAGTAGGGGTTAGTGTACTTCACTCTGAATTCAGAAAGGCCGAACTTGAGGCCTGTAACCTGGCAGCCACAACAAGTGGGAACCCATAATCAGGAAGGCCTGACAAGGCCTAACACCCGATAGTCCCAATGCATGGGGAGCTCACATTCAGGAAGGCCGCTGAGGCCTTCAGCCTGACATGTGAAGACTCACCACTACAACTTAGCGACCACGAAAAGTGGGGGTTTCACATTCAGGAAGGCCTGGTGAAGCCTGCAACCTGACATGTGACAACTCACAACCAGGAAGGCCAATGAAGCCTGAAGCCTGGTGACCACAGAGTGGGAGCAAAGTGCTCAGGGAAGGTGGTGAGGCTGTAGTCTGGCTACCGCATCATGTGGGAGCCCACATTCAGGAAGGCTGGGTGAGGCCTGTAAACTGACTACCACAGTATATGGGAACTCATAACCAGGAAGGCCCCTTTGAGGCCTGTAACCTAGCAACCACCATGTGTGGGAGCTCATCACCAGGAAGGCCTGGTGAGGCCTATAACCTGACCACCACAGAAAGTGGGAACTCATAACCAGGAAGGCCCCTTTGAGGCCTGTAACCTAGCAACCACAATGTGTGGGAGCTCATAACCAGGAAGGCCTGGTGAGGCCTGTAACCTGGCGACCACAATGTGTGGGAGCTCATAACCAGGAAGGCCTGGTGAGGCCTTTAACCTGGCGACCACAGTACGTGAGAGCTCGTATCCTGGTGACCACAGTATGTGGGAGCTCATAACCAGGAAGGCCTGGTGAGGCCTGTAACCTGGCGACCACAGTATGTGGGAGCTCATAACCAGGAAGGCCTGGTGAGGCCTGTAACCTGGCGACCACAGTATGTGGGAGCTCATAACCAGGAAGGCCTGGTGAGGCCTGTAACCTGGCGACCACAATGTGTGGGAGCTCATAACCAGGAAGGCCTGGTGAGGCCTTTAACCTGGCAACCACAGTATGTGGGAGCTCATAACCAGGAAGGCCTGGTGAAGCCTGTAACCCAGCGACCACAGCATGTGGGAGCTCATAACCAGGAAGGCCTGGTGAGGCCTGTAACCCGGTGACCACAATCAGTGGGAGCTCATAACCAGGAAGGCCTGGTGAGGCCTGTAACCTGGCAACCACAGTATGTGGGAGCTCCCACAGATGTCTCTCCGTGGCCACCATAGCACCGACAGAACAGCAGCTTGCTTGGTGGCCCGGAGTCCCGCAACAGATCGGTCTGGTAGGCCTGAGGACCACAAGGGCGTGCAGAACCGCACCTGCCTGACCTGCTGCCGTGTACGCTCTGTCATTCAAGCATGAAGATGTCTTGAGCAGCTTGGATGACAGGGTCAGAGCTCTTAGTGAAGAGGACCAACCAGAGACGAGATAGTTAGCCAACGTCTCGTCCACTGGCGGCCTCGACACTTATCCGTTCTCCACGGCTCCCTCCACAGCAGCGAAACTAGCCCGCTGATGCAGATAGAGACGTGAGGAGAACGGATTCTTCCATACCCTCTCGATCCCAGCGTGGAGATCGGAAACGAATGGAAGGCTCATCCGGGCTGGTGGCTTATGGGTGGGGAGGAACCAGCCATCCAAAATACCATGAGCGGGTTCCTCCCAGACGCGCCTCCACTGCAACAGCAATCTGTCTGAGGCGCGCCCCATAATGTCAACCAGCTCAGCGTACACTGGGCAGGAGGGCTGAAATGATTCGGTCTCAACCAAACTGACATCCTTTTCTATATATATATATATATATATATATATTACAGCCAACTCCTGCCCTGCCCAAAGAGAACAGTTACAGATTCACCAAAGAGAGAGAGCGCTCATTTTCTCTCTTCTTAGATGTTCAACATTAATCTGTAACTCACCCTCGTCAGCTGGTAGATCATCCGCGAGGTTAACGCCCCTCTCCCGATAATCTGCCAGCTCCATCTGAAAGCTCCACGAGCTCAACCGCCACTGAGCCTCAGCCCGAGCGGGAACCGGAACCGCGGGGTTCAGATTCCGCGCCCACTTCCCTCGAGAAGTGGGTCAGACGAGAGCAGAGAGTTCTGAAAGGAAAAACTCTCAGTTCGCGCAAAAAACTCCCTCGAGAGCTTCCCGCGAATGCTCTTCTCTCAGGCAGAACACGCACAGATCGTGTGAATCCTCCGGTGTCAAATATCTGGACACAAGTCGGCACACTCGCGCAAAGTGTTTCTCCACGTCTCTGCGCGTTTAATCGTTGATACTATCACACAGACAAACAGTCCCTGAAGACGAAAAGATGTTGTCACGGTTTCAAGGCGCCCTTCTTATACATCCAGATTGACGCGCTCATCATTCAAGCTGATGATGCACGGGCTGTCGCCGGTCAACCTGATTACTGTGAGTTGATATTTGATTTCAGACACCTGTCACGCCTGAGGCGTTCCCCATAGCGTCATTCGACGTATTGTTGAGTTCCCTTCGAAAGGGAACTAAAGTTTATCCATGCAGTCCTATTGGAATCCAAAGGAAGCTTATGCAGCGACTGTCTTCTTCCACAACCAGGCACTGCAATATTTTGTATTGCTCGGTAGCTCGATACGGTTTGTCATCATGAGGTAGGCCTATGTTATTTAGCTATGCATGTAATGCGAATCGGTGGGCGGGGCTAAACCGGCCGTGTTGAAGTAGGCGTTGATCTTCTGCGGGGGTGGTGTTTTATCCTCTTTGACGTCTTAGTTCCCTACTTTTAAAAACAATTCTTTTGCAGAGGCTGGTGTCAATAAAAGCTTTTATTGGACAAACAAGGAGGTTTTTAGTTCAGAAACTTACAGAAGCTCAAAAGTCAAAAGCTCAAGGAAAATTGATTTCTCAGTTCATCACCCCTTTAAAACCGATAGTAATATACTGCATAATAAAAACATACTTTTTTTTTTTAACATACAAAAACTACTTTTAACATGCATTTATTAATACCCAATAACCGTGGTTAAAAGTGAGGAAAAGATGAGATGCACCGATCTGCAGAAATGTTTAAAAAAAACAGTGCAAAAGGAGCACATCCTTTGTCAAAGCCCTCTCACACCATCCTAGCCATTAAACTAGTTTCAATTTACCTGTTCAGTACTTTCATCCTTTTTAACCCGTTCTAGTTTCTTCCGCTGCCGTTGACGCTAAAAAGAAAAATAAATCTTTTTTTTTTTTGGCCAGCAACACAATGCAGGCAATAAAATCCATCTTATTTATGGCTCCGTTCACAATAAGAACAAAACGTAAAAAAAACAATGCATAATAGATCTGCCCTGACAGTAAAATATGTTAAAGGTGATTCATTCTTATACTTAGTGTGGCAAAGTTTATCTCCTCTCACCTTCCTCTTGGCTTTGCGTCTCTCTGCTTTCCGTCTGGCCTTCTCTTCCTCGCTAAGACCCTCCTCACCATTTAAGACATCCTGTAGAACATACACAAACCCGAATCACACAGGGTATCAGGAAAAGACAGACATGCAGGTACTTACTTTGTTTCAGAAAAACAGCCACAAACAGAGGTCTGTTTCAGAGTACTGCATGTCCTTCATCAAAGAGGTTTAAGAAAGGAATTGTACCCTATTTGAGAAAGACTTCTTTAGTTGTAGGCGCTAAAACAAGCTTGAAAATGTTAAAAAAAAAAAAAAAAAACACAGTGGAGGACTTTGGCCTCAATATAAATGTTTGAAGCCATTGTTGCGCTCACTATGAGTGGTTAACCAAATAAAATGGAACTCAAAGCTTAAATTGTTAAAGATGACTGCAGGGTAACAGTTTTGTGTGAGCAGACAACTCTTACAATGTCTGTATCAGAATGCACACTATCATGGGTAGATAAGACCATTTGAAATGTTCAGCAATGAATGTGACTCATTCACCAAAATAACACATTGTTAACACACTGCAATGCTGGGAGTAACTGTTTTTGGAGCACACCAACCCGACCTTGACCCAACTGATTTGTTGAGACATGACTAGATAAAGTTCATTCACTCTTTCTACGTTTTTGAAAAAAAAAAAAAAAAAAAAAAAAAAAAAAAAAAAAACGCACACTTTTGCACATAAAACGTCTCTTTTGCACTTAAAGGCCGCATTTATTTGGCCAAAAATACAATAAAAACAGTAATATTGTATTGAAATATTATTACAATCTAAAATAATTTTTCTAATTTCATATATTTTACAATTCAATTCATTCCTGTGATGCAAAGCTGATTTTTCAGCATCATTACTCCAGTCTTTAGTGTCAGAATGATCCTTCAGAAATCATATAATATCATATAATTGTACCAATATATATATAATTGTATCAATATATATCATATGCTGATTTGCTGCTCAATAAGCATCTATAATCAATGTTGATAACAGTAGTGCTGCTTGTTTATTTGTAGAAAACATTGAAGAAAAAAAACTTTTAATTATTCTTTAAATACAAGGAACAGATTTATTTATTTTTTTTACATTCTAATGTATCATAAAATGTATTTGCCGTCAGATTTGACCAATTTAAAGAGTCCTTGCTGAATAAGTTAATTTAAAATAAAGAGAGAGCAATAAAAACACAGTGCTGGTCATAATTATTTGCCCCCTTGGTAAATATGATCAAAGATGGCTGTAAAAAATAAATCTGCATTGTTTGTCCTTTTGATATTCTATTTAAAGCACCACTATGCAGTTTTATTACCTTAACGGAATAGCTTCGGAGTTATTGCAATGGTTATATGACTATTTTCGGGTTGCATGTTGGGCATCCGAATGTTGGCTGTGTTTGTATATGGGCTGTGGCAATAATAATTAGAAAAAAAAAAAAGCTTGCAACATATGGAAAAAAGAACTATGTATGAATTAGTTCATTTTTTGAAGTATGAATTATGAACTGAACAAGTACATTTTAAAATGTATAAACTGAACTTTGAACTAGTAAAACTTTCAGTAAACTTTCCCAAAAAATATTCCCATTGCAATATATTGTATACATAAATATATAGAATATAAAACACACACACTTAAACTTTACATATGAAGAGTTCAGATGCAAAAGCCTCTAAATGCCATTTGAAATTTTCTTCTTTAATGATGATTTTTATCAAACTTGTACATTTAAGTTCAGTAATTTCACTTAAATAACAATTAATAGGTAAGGCCTAAAAAAAAAAAAGTTTGGTTCCGGTTGGTTGTCAGTTGAGGTCATGGGTCGGTCGGGAATTTTTTTTTTTTTTTCAGTGGCAGCAAGGGATGGGTAGGAAATTATTCAGGGCTCGACATTAAAGGGATAGTCAAACCTAAAAATATCAAAATTGAAACTACTGTGGAAACAAAGACACCTACATCTTGGATGCCCTTGAGGTAAGCTAAAACATATCAAAAATTAATTTCAAAGTGAACTATCCCCTTAAGCCTTTTCACGTGCTTGTCCTCCGGACAAGTAAGTAAATCTGTCAATCACTTGTCCGAGTAAAAAAGTTGCTTGTCCGGATTTTTTAAATTTATTTATTTTTTATTCTGAAGCAATATTCTCATCAGTGTTCAATCAGCTTTGATATTTAAAAAGGCAAATTGTAATATCTGCACCTTTAAGGGCATCCCCTCCACCAATATTATTAAAGGAACACTCCGACTTTTTGGGACTTTAGCCTATTCACCTTACCCCCCAGAGTTAGATAAGTCCATACATACCTTTTTCATCTCCGTGCGTGCTATAAGTCTGTTTGACACACCCACCGCTAGCCTAGCTTAGCACAAAGACTCGATGTGACTGGTTGCAGCTTTCATACTAATCCAAATGAGTGGCAAAATAACGCAAACGTTTTCCTATTTACATGTTGTGATTTGTATAGTCACATAATGTACAAATAACAAAGTCAAATGAGACACAGACATCTTTTAACCGTATAAAACCTGGGAACTATTCTCTGAAGGCGAAGCACTGCTACTTTGACGGCGTAATAACCGCATCACCGGAGACACGCTGTGGTGAGGAGCGGAGAGTTCGCTCGGTGTTTGGGTAATAGAGTCAGCAATTTATAAATAGTAAAAGCGTAGTTTAGAGTCATGGGTTTTCGCTCTAATTGTAAATAGCTGCGACTGTAAACAGGGGAGGTAATACCATGTTTCACAGAATTCCAATTAAAAACGCTGACTGGATGAAGAAATGGCTAACTTACTCTGGATATTTATCCAAACACACCATAAGATTATCAAGGGACATTATGTTTGCTCGGTACATTTCAATGAGACGACTATTTTGAAAAAATGGAATTTGCCACACGGACCATAATGTGCTGAAGGATACGGCTATCCCATCGATAGCACAGACAGGACAAGTGGAATCACTGCAGCTGAGGTAAGTGTTCCGTTATGTTTTTAGATGACCTACTGTAACAGTGCCTTTAGCCAGAGCTAATGTAACGTTAGTGACACTATTATATGATTAGGGTATGAATATGTTTTTATCTTGATGCGGTGCGGACGCGCTTGGGAAAAAAAAAATGAGCGCGTTCACCGCGTTGAACTTGCACCCTGCGCGCGGTGCGCCTAGTAGCCTAAATTTGAAATAACCATGGAAATAACGAACTTGAGCGTGCAAAAGGTACGATAGGCTGTGAGTTCATTGTGCAAAAACAATTTGTGCTATTACTTTCCCTTTATTCTATCCTAGTAATGCAATACTGTATATTATATAGGCTACTGTTGAATACATTTGGTTCAGCTAATAAATTGCATTTAAAATATATTGATTCCTGTAATAATAATTATTTATTCATGTGATATTTATAAATCTGGGTGCGTTTTTGGTTGGAAATCAATGAAACATGGTACTGTATTAACCTGGTCTCCCCTGTTTATTGTCACAGCTCATACAATAAAGCAAACACCCATGATAAACTATGCTTTTCTATCTAACGTTAGTAATTGCTGACTCTTTATTCCAACGCTGAGCGAAGCGAACTCTCTGCTCCTCGTCACGGTGCGTCTCAGGTGATTGTTATCACTCTGCCCAAGTAGCAGTGCTTCCCCTTCAGAAAATATAGTATTTATACGGTCAAAAGATGTCTGTGTCTCATATGGCCTTGATATTTGCACACTCTGTGACTATACAAACCACAACATGTAAATAGGAAAACGTTTGCGTTATTTTGTCACTCATTTGGATTAGTATGAAAGCTGCAACCATTCACATCCAGTCTTTGTGCTAAGCTAGGCTAGCGGTGGGTGCGTCAAACAGACTTATAGCACGCACGGAGATGAAAAAGGTATGTATGGACTTATCTAACTCTGGGGGGTAAGGTGAATAGGCTAAAGTCCCAAAAAGTCGGAGTGTTCCTTTAAATGCCCTATAGTGTCTTATTATTCTAAATAATTTAATTTATTGATCAAATTTAGGAATTTAAAATGAAAGATGAAGCATACTGTTACCCTAGGTAGGGCTGATGAAATTAAATCATTTACACTGAAAAATTACAATTTCATAAAATAAATGTTATGAAATTGATTTAAATGTGCAAATAAGAAATATTGGAAAGAATTATACTAGGCTACTTATAAACATAACACTAAACTGCCAATAGGTGGCGGCAGGAGGCCGTATAAATGTTATTGATTCATTAATTCAAACGATTCATTCAAATGGTTGATTTATTCAAGAATGAGACAGATGTTGATGTTTATGAATGGGTCATTGAATCCTTGACTCAACCGATTCGTTCAAAATGCTGAATCATTCAGTAATGAAAACAGGATGAGTTCCTGTGAGATGCGTCGTGGTTCTGCTGTGACTTTTCTTTGGAACTATTTTCGCTGCTGAAATGGAACAAAAACACCCAATATTGCTTATAAACAGTAAGTGACTTAATCTTAACTGTTTATTGAACTGTTGTAGGAAATCAATGTCACTTTTTCAATCGTCATGGTATTCAGGAAAAATAATTGAGGCTGCTTAGTGCTTAACATATGTTAAAATATAAAAACTCCATATTTAGATTTTTTTATAGGCAGAGTATGTTGTTAACTGTGTGTGTGTGCTCCGCTCATGTGTGTAGATTTCTCTGCGCGAGCGTCAACAGCGCAACCTTACCATCAGTAATACAGTAGGCCTGCTACATTTATTATCCACAATCGATCGCAACTTGCAATAAATGTATTAAAATCAGAATCATTCCCTCGGTTTAGTGATTCCCTAGTTATTTTTTTGTTTGTTATTGATGTTCTAATCAGGCTACTTGTCCGTTGGGGTGAGTAAAATTCTCTTTTACTTGTCCTTCAAAAATCCATTTGTCCCGGAAAAGCGGACAAGTTAGACGGGCTCTAGAGATACGAACCGCGGCAGGTTAGAGTGTTTTTTGGATTGCATTAGAAACGAACAAATACATGGCGAAAGAAGTGCTAGACAGCAGAAGATAGGATTGGGATCATGATTGGATGGATCATGATAGGATGATTTTTTAATAAAACTAGGCGGATGGAGGTATTAGTATGTGGTGTGTGCATGCCTATGAATGCATGTATTTGTATGTGTGCGAATATGAATAAAAATATCCTAAATTACAAAAAAAGACTTGTATAATATGTATTATAGTTCAGTTTGACGAACGATATCTGCCTCGTTTGTTAATAGATTGCTGGAGGACAAGATGCATCTTACATCGCGTGCTATAAAAAGACGGAGCTGTATAAAAACGTAAATTAATAGTTCGCCTCAGAGTTTTTTATTTGTGTATTTATTTAATTTTTATTATTTCTTCCCCAAGCTCATAAAATAATTTTGGGTCGCACATAAATTGACAGGGTCGGTCGGAAACCGGAAACAAACAATTTTTTTTTTTTTACGCCTAATTATCATTGCCATTTAAGTGAAATCACTGAACTTAAATATACAAGCTTGATAAAAATGATCATTCTAGAAGAAAATTTCAAATGGCACTTAGAGGCTTTTGCATCTGAACTATACACTTTTAAGGCCACTATACATGTCGCTATGCGGGAATCGATCAGGAATAGTTAAAAAGATAGCAATTTCAATTTCAGTTTCAATTTCAGACAAACTAATGGTCAGAAAACATATGCAAGCCAAGCAGTATTCAAAAACAACAGGAGAACATGCAGGTCTTTTGACCTCATTTCTGATTTAATGTAACAACTCGTGAAAAAAACCCAGTGTTCTTGTACCTGTGTCAGCATGTGGTCATTCTGCCCGGGGAGAGCACCGGTGTCCATCTCCTCTGGCCTTTCATCACTGGAGCCTGTGGAAAAATCCAGGGAAAACAATCCATAAGTCCAAAGTCCCAATTCGAAGAAAGAGAATCCATATAGCCTTAGCCAAATCATACTTTTTAAGACTTAAAACGTTTAATAATGCAGGAAAGAGAATCAACACAAGCCACTTGTTTTGTATCATGTTGTCAAATCCCAATATTTACCCTTTCCTAATTCTTTATTCACTCCAAATGCTCTCAATAAGAAAATCCCATTCATTTGTGACTATGCAATGGCATTTCAGTCAAACCCATAACAACTTTCCTCACAATAAAGTCTTGGTTTTTACTTCTCTAATTGCATTAGCCACTAAAAACCATGTCAAATATATTTTTAACCTTGACAGCAGATGGTTTTTTTCAATTGCCATTTGAAGCATAAAGCTGTGCAAAGAATTTCACATCATGTCTGCCACAGAAAAGCCACCTAAACCCATGGGAAAAAAAAAAAAAAAAGTTATCAGCAAAAAAAAAAAAAGACACACTCCCTCAACAAACATGGGACCTAAAGCCCTGCAGGATTGCAATTCATTTGTCAGCTATCTTAAAATTCCCTTGCTGCAATGGTAAAATTAGACCTTGCAGACATTTCTCCAAGCTACACAGCCTCACATAAACTTAAACTACACAGCTCAAAATATTCCACAAGAAAGCCATTTAAACAACGTCCTAGTAAAACAATACTTGCTCTGAAGACCGTCCAACAACAGATTTTTGGATTCTTCCATTAGCTAATCTAAGCAAATGGTTTTCAGACTAATTTTTCAGGCTTTGTTTTCTTTTATGGGATTCATGATAGCTCAGAGATGGTTTTATCCTTGATTCAGCTCAGGGTTGTGATGATAATAATACGCAACCATCTACACAATGTCCGGGCGGAAACCTACATAAACACATTCCAAAAAATAACATTCCTGTTTCAGAAAGAGACAGAACTTTACAAGCTTGTTAACTGATTCCTTTGGTACATTGAAATGAAGACACATTAGGCGTTCAAAAAAAAAACCACTCCTTCAACCACTCCTATTAATTGTTGCAACACTCTTAATATCTCACATAAGTTGTCTCACACAGCAAAGAGATGCACACAGTTTGATTTCAGTTATAAATCACAGCTAAGTAGCACCACAAATCTCAGGCAAATGCAAATGAAGCAGGCCATGATCTGAGACGAGTCCTGCGGTTGCAGAGAAGTGATGTATATCGACCAGCAGACTTCCCCTTTAGTGACTCATCTCACACGTCGATGGCCTTGTGACAATTTTACCTTGGTAAGATACAGAAACCGCAGGTGGCCCCTGGCTAGTCACGTCTTCCTTGGATCATGCAAACTGTTCCATGCAAAAGATCCCAACTGATACGGTTTTTACTGACACCATTCAGAATGCTGAATCCGTTTGATTAAAACAGCAGTGGACTTGCATGCAGAAAAGGACTGTAAGGATCAAGTGTCACAATGTTAACAAAGATGTTTATTTACGCTACTTGTCAAACTGCGATACCCTGTCAAACTTCCACATCTCCGAACATTTTACTGTGAATGCAACTGACAGGCAAATATAGCAACAGCGCTGGTAGGGAAAACAAACTATACATTTATGCATTTAATGATGGATCATGCTCTTAAGCATATTTACATTTCTACCACACACTTTGAGTAGAGCCCAACATTAGACAATTCAAACTAGCAGTACTTCATGTAATGACAATGCGCGCGCCCACACACACACACACAAACCTCAATGAAAAACGGTTCCAATTAAAATCTAAAGGGGCTTTACAGTCTGATGTCATTGGGGAACCTTTTCAAGTTCCCTAAAGAATTTTCTTTCTGTAGCTTTTTATAAAACCATCCATGTATTCGTTCTTTAAAGAGCCACCAGAACTCTGGTCTGAAGAATCCAGTTTAAAGGGTTAGTTCACCCAAAAATGAAATGAACACAAGAATGAAACTCATTGGTTCTTGAAGAAGCACTCAAATGTAATGCGTAAAAAGAATGAACCTCATTGGTTCTTGAAGAAGCACAAAATGTAATGCGGATCACAAAAATGAACCTCATTGGTTGTTGAAGAAGCACTCAAATGTAATGCGTAACAAGAATGAACCTCATTGGTTCTTGAAGAAGCACAAAATGTAATGCGGAACACAAGAATGAAACTCATTGGTTTTTGAAGAAGCACTCAAATGTAATGCGTAACAAGAATGAACCTCATTGGTTCTTGAAGCTCAAAATGTAATGCGTAACAAGAATGAACCTCATTGGTTCTTGAAGAAGCACAAAATGTAATGCGTAACACCAGAATGAACCTCATTGGTTCTTGAAGAATCTCAAATGTAATGCGTAACACCAGAATGAACCTCATTGGTTCTTGAAGAAGCGCTCAAATGTAATGCGTAACAAGAATGAATCTCATTGGTTCTTGAAGCTCAAATGTAATACGCAACACAAGAATGAACCTCATTGTTTCTTGAAGAAGCTCAAATGTTATGTGTAACACAAGAATTAACCTCATTGGTTCTCAAAGAAGCTCAAATGTTATGTGTAACACAAGAATTAACCTCGTTGGTTCTTGAACCTCAAACGTGATGCGTAAAATGAGAAAAGTTTCAGTTGCGTGGCTGTCAACGCACGGGCCAGAAAGCTCTCAGATTTCGTCAAAAAGATATTTATTTGTGTTCTGAAGACGAACGAAAGTCTTACGGGTTTGGAATGACATGAGGGTTAGTAATCAATGACAGAATTGTCAATTTTAGGTGAACTAACCCTTAAAACTGGTAGCTCTGTTTTGAAACATTAAGATGTTTCTATCAGATCATTGGCTGGCCTTCCTTCCCATGTAGATGCCACCGTTCCAGACATGTCATCGACATGGCAGCCATCTTTTCAGATGCTGTCATCACTCACAGTTGCCACAAAATTTCTAACCCTCTGGTTGTAAAAACCACTGAGATTTGAAATTGGATGTGAAATTCATTTGGTGAAGTCTATTACAGATTTAGATATTAATACATGCAACTATGGTTACAGTCAACTTGCTCTTAAATCTTCACAAACCGGCTTGGCCGTTCCAATATGGAGAACGGCTTACGTATATCGGCCAACAGCCACTAAAGAGGCATATATATATATATATATATATATATATATATATACACACACACATATACACACACTATGGGTCAACCAGCTACCACATTCCAAAAACTAGGAACCAGAGATCATGTTCCGATTGCAGCTACCAGCTAGGGTTTTCCAACATAGATCAAGAACTGTTGTTTAAATCTCTAAAGAATCATGGGTAACTAAGATTTTTGGTTATCCTAAAGAAACATTGAAGAACCTTTATGTGTATTATATTGTATGAAAAGGCAATTTTTGCCATTAGACTTGAGGCAGCCTTTAACTCCTGTGTGCCTACATTTACAAGAAGGCTAAAACCATTACAAATTATAACTAAATCATCATGCATCTTAATGGGTTTGTCTGAAAATGTTCATTCGTAAAAAAAAAAAAAAAAAACATTCAAACAGGAAATCATCAGCAGTTGAAATCACATTTATGTGCCTGTGATTCACAGGCCTGTTGCATGTGATTTCTAGCATTTGAATTAGTATTAAATAAAAGCCAAAATAATGTGGTAAATAGGATGCATTTAATTTCTTTAAATTAATGTAACTAAATTACAGATTATGTGAGAGATTAAGCTAACAACGTTTAACTACAGTTCTTTGGCTAGTCTTTGTAATAGGCATATTAAAAGTTAACATTAAATAAGGATTTGACTATTAAGCTTTAGACATAATTACCCTCGACAAATAAAAAGATAGCCGGGTGACAACCGCAGTTACAAAACAATCGCATAAGCGGCATCATGATTTGTTTAATGTTACGCTTTTATAAATCTGACTCACATTAGATAACTTATCGCGGTCACTGACGTGCGTTACGGCGAGATAAACGGATTGTGCCTTACTTCGTTTTACGCTCCGATTCATGGAAAACTAACTTTATAACTCGGACAGGCAGAAGCAAAGTTTCCATGCAGTCGTGAAACTCACCGCTGAGCCCCAGTAACCGGCCGAAATCCAAACTGAACTTCATTAGACCAACCATCCAGCATTATTACCCTCAATAACACCACAGGAACAAATACACGACCGAATACATGTTAAAACAACAAATGAGTCGACATCTTTAAACTTGTGGCGATATGCAGCTGTTTCTCTTCCTGGGCGTCGAGCGGAACGTCAGGCGGGTGAGTTGAACTGCACTCAGGCGCCTCCCAGAACAAGCGTCTTAAAGGGCCGCAGGGGCCATGTGCCCTGGAGCCACACTTCACATCCAGTCAAGAGCATTTTTATTTGTCATTTGCACAATTACACTAGGCACCGAAATGCTTGTGACGATGCTCAGACTTACAGTAATACAGGACCATACACAAATTTAGTACCTAACCACAAATAAACAAAGTGGCGGGTAAAAAAAAAATAATAATAAGAATACGAGTACGAATAGGCCTATAGGCTACTGAGGTAGAAGTCTCAATAACAATCTACTACCATACAATCAATTACCAATGGACAAAATCAAGTTCCAGACTACTTTTTTTTCTGGTTCAAGAAGCAGTTTCACTCTATGTCACAATAGGAAAGAAGACAATTTTGCATCATGCATTTTATGCTGACTTTAATCCAGTTACCATTTAAAAAAAAAAAAAAAGAGAGAGAGAGAGAGAGAGAGAGAGAGAGAGAGAGAGCGAGAGAGATTTGGATTTTGCCAAATCAATTAAACAGGTTAAATTTTAATCACACTTGAATTACTTTCGTGCTTCGTGATCATGCATGTGTACTGTTTGGATTTTCAAGCATACAGGACATTTCCATACTGTTTTTTAGTTTGCATACTATATAAACTGTAGAAATAGGAAGAGTTGTACTCATGCTAGAAAGTTATAACGAACATAGCCTTAAATGAATATTTGTTTTCCTAAAGTCTTGCCAATGTTCTGTGATGTACACTGAGAAATGACATGCATTAAAGGGATAGTTGACCCAAAAATATATTAAGATATTTTAGCTTTAGTCTGAGAGCTTTCTGTCCCTCCATTGAAACTGTATGCACTGTATACTGTCCTTGTCCAGAAAGGTAATAAAGACATCATCAAAGTAGTCCATGTGACATCAGTGGGTTAGTTCAAATTTTTTGAAGCATCGAAAATACATTTTGGTCCAAAAATAACAAAAAACTAAGACTTTATTCAGCATATACTTTATTTATTGTCTGTTTGATTATGTCTTTTTTACCTTTCAGGACAAGGACAGTCTACAGTACATACATTTCCAATGGAGGGACAGAAAGCTCTCTGACTAAATCTAAAATATCTTGAACTGTGTTCTGAAGATGAACACAGGTCTTACAGAACTTGGAACGACATGAGGGTGAGTCATTAATGGCATCATTTTAATTTTAAGGTGAAATAACCCTTTAAATAAATAATTTTGGATTATTTTATGTAATTACTTTATTTGAGATGAAGTACAGTCCTGCATCACTGGCTTCACAGCAAAAAATAAGAATTTAGAGGTAAACAATAAAGCCTCTTCAAAGGTTCAAAGACCTTTTGCTTTCATAGAACCTCCATTATTATCAATTATCTAAATGATATAATTGAATTTATTATAAAACAATGTCATAGCTTTTTGTCAGAAATATTCAATGTGAACCTACTCACATGTCCTATCTCAGGTCATAAAAAACACATGGCCAATGGATTCAGTTATATTTATTATAATTGACTACATGATCTCAAATTTTACAAAAAAAAAAAAAAAAATAGATGGAATAGGGCAACATTTTGGGAGTGTATTAAAACTGCAAGACAAAAAATCACACAATGTCAACAACGCTAAAAGGGTCAGTTCACCCAAAAATGAAAATTCTGTCATCATACTCACCCTCAAGGTGTTCCAAACCTGTACTGCAGTAAAAATAAGATATTTTGTAGAATGTTTGCAACCAAAGAGTTGACGGCACCCATTGACTTCAGTAGGAAAAAAAAAATACTATGGAAGTCAATGGCTGGCGTTCAACTGTCTAGTTACCAACATTCTCTAAAATATCTTCTTTAAAGGTTCTCTAAGCGATGTGGGGCCAAAAAAATTTTTTGTCACATACATCAAATGTCTCCTCACTATCGGCTAGCTGCCTGTCCCCTAAACACACTGTAAAAAAAACGTGGTCTCTGTAGACACCACAGGCTCCAAAAACGGCAACAAAAACAATCATGTCTCACCCGGACCACGAAACCTAACAAACAGTGTTCCAGCCAATCACTGGCAAGAAGTATTTAAGGGTGGGTCTGGAGGGGTTAGTGCGCGTGCACATGAAGGGGGTGTGTGTGTGAAGGAGATAGAAGCATCAGAGGGAAGTTTGAATAATGGCCGACACGACCAAAGAAACGTCGTTCTGAAGAACAAATTAAAAAGAAGAAGGAGTCGGATAAAGAACGTGCGAAGTTCCGAATTTACATCGGTAGCAAAGCTTTTGAACGATGGTGAGAACTCCGGCGGCAGAAGGGCTTCCAGTCCGACATTCAGGTTGCTCTGTTTTTGCTGGACAGGTGGGTAACGTTAAATTGTTTTTTTCTTCTAAATTGACGCTTATGTTCGCCAAACCCACACAAGGATATAATTAGCTAGAAATACACGTTCACAATTATTTCAGGAAGCACGGAAGGGAGGGGGAGGAGATGAGATGCGGAGGAGGGAGGGTCTAGCTAGCCTCCGATTTGTTTAAAAATATTCCGAACGTCAACACCCAGGATCGCTTAGAGAACCTTTAAATTCATACAGATTTGAAACAACATGAGGGTGAGTAAATGATGACAGACTTTTCATTTTTTTGGGTAAACTATCCCTTTACTATTTGTCTTCATCTCTCTTTTCATTGAAATATCCCATTGAAAAGTGATATTCCCCATCCATCGAAGGCCGAGATCACAGTCGCTTGAAATCTGCCAGAACATTGAGAGCTGAATTCCAGCCGGCTGCACCCATAACACCTCCACCTGAATGAGACAAGCTCAGATAAATGCTGGAGAACACAGGGGAGGTCATGCACGTCAAGCTCCACATTTACCTGACCTGGTTTTATGATACGTGATATCACACAGATGACATTTCTAAACCCAATACGTACTGTTTAAGCTTTTATTTATTCAGGCACATACCTGGATGGCTGCCACTGCCACATAAGTACAATCCTTTGACGGGTGAGCGGTAGTCTGCGACAGAGGGCAAAGGTCTCGCCAGGTAAAGTTGATCCAAAGACATTGAGCCATGAAATATATTCTGTTGCATAAAAATAAAAATAAAAACGCATGTAATTAATGTTATGACAAGCACATTTACAACAATTAACTGAGATTTAAAGACAATATTATATATTAGATTCTGTATGAGTGTGAAAATGACTAACAAAACAATACATTTATAAAAAGTCCATGTCAATTTAAATTAAATATGTTTATACCCCTCCAGTGAGACCAAAGACCCTCTCAAGATCAGGAGGGGTCAGGATGTCTTTGCCCACTATTGACTTTTTAAATCCAGGTGCGTAACGTTCAACCCAGTCGAATGCTGCGAAACAGGAAACAAAGAACCTATTACTACAAAGATTGTATTACTTCAAGGCATAGGCATGTGATATCACTGTGGTAGCACAAGCTGTGTCACTGCATTTAAAAAGTAGGTAGTGCATGCCCGCCTATTAGAGTGGGAAAGTTGGGGCGGTCTTTAAAATGCAGAAAATATCACATAAGAATCTAGTCAAGATTTTCTGTTCACTTATTATTTTGATTTTTTTTTTTTTAAATGATATGGTAAAAATAATCATTTCTTAAAATCTTAGAAACAAATGCTAGCCTTGCTCTATTCTGTGAGGCGCGTTTGTAATGTCACGTAATACGTAATTACGTTCAAAAGGTCACGGGCGACATAGAATCTAAATCGTCCGACATCGTTGTTTTACCTTTTAAATCCTTTTTTGTAAACGGCGTTTGAGTTGGTTTGCACGTTCAACCTATGCGTTCAACTTGTAAACACTGACTCTGTACTTCCGGCTACGTCGCCCGTGACCTTTTGAACGTAATTACGTATTACGTGACGTTACAAACGCGCCTCACAGAATAGAGCAAGGCTAGCATTTGTCCTTAGAAAAGTTACATTTTTGGAATAAGTTTTGAAATAACCGATCGTTTCGCATGATAAGACCCTTATTCATCGTCTGGTGTCGTTTAAAGACATTTGAAGCTGCATCTGACACTGTTATTAACTGTCTTTTCGAACTTGGACCATCTGGTTCCCATGTAAGTCCATTATATGGAGAAAAATCCTGGAAAGTTTTCATCAAAAACCTTAATTTCTTTTCGACTGAGGAAAGAAAGACATGGACATCTTGGATGACATGGGGGTGAGTAAATTATCAGCAAAAGTTTTTTTCAAAAGTGAACTAATCCTTTAATAAATACTTATCTTGCGCAAAATAAGAACGCTGACTTTCAGTACAATCTACATCTTTCACTTCGAACATACAAATGTCTTTTGCGTCTTTTAGTATGCCGAAAGAAGCACCGTTTCTGAGGAGTGCGCATATGCGTATGTGCTCTAGTACGTAAAAATGAGTCTATGATTGAATCTGGAAATGAAGCAAAATAGAAGAGAAAAAGAAGTAGTCATGTCTGTAATTTAATTTTAAATTCTTAAATGGATCGATTGAAAGAAGTTATTACTCAACCACCCAGACAGCAACATAGTGTCGGTCCACATCCGGCCCACATGTGGTACACATGAAATCCTGCACACATACCAGATGTACAGTAGGCCGGATCTGGGCCAACACTGTGTTGCTGTCTGGGTTAGAGTATTGCGACAATACGGTTTCGGAAAAACAGTCATGACAAGCTAGTTGATTTCTTTAACAAATAACGATGCATCGTACTATAGAAGTTAAGCAGCATGTAAAGTCGCTGTACGGAAAACTCTGTATGACAGACTACTAGTTTAAAATTTACAGGTGTGAATTCAGTTATATAATGCAGTTATTATCACTCTTGTATATAGCTGTGTGAAAATAACCATATTAAGGACTTAAATACAGGATTGACAACTGTATTCTGCAGCTGTGTGAATGTGGACTTAATAACATAATTAGTAATTTTTTTAAGGTGCAGCGCAATATTGTTAGCCAGGCTCCGCCCACCTACGTAACGTACTGC